TGCTCTGTGTTTATGGAGTTGTGGAGAACTGGGAGATCTGGTATGTCTGGAGTGTGTAGAAATAGTAGTAAATAGTAGACCAACAAAAAAATGAAATGACCAGATAATCATAACATTCTCAATAACTATAGATTGATAGATGGCAATATATTTAGATAGAGTTTAACAACTCAAAAAACAGTAATAGCTCCGGGAGGTCCTGTAATTTTTGGTTGAAAAAAATCTATGCAATAGACACTCATAAATAATAACAAAAATATGAAAAAACATATATATATATATATAGTAAAAGTTAATATTTTTTCTAGAGGTCTATTATCACTATCTGTATTATATATATATATATATATATATGTATCAGTTGAATATCACCTGCATTTAGGTGATGCATCAGCACTGGGAGACACTAGCACTGGACGATAGTCCTGAATCGTTTAGATGAGAGTATGAATAACTTTCTTTTTTTAGAAAAAAATCCATAACACCAGTCATATTGATTACAGTGATAACATAATTGATCATTTGGTTTGAGCCATTCAATTGGTCACTACTGATACAATCATAGTATCTATTGTAGTGGTTATGATGCAAATCTCTCTTATTGTTAGTCTAATTATGATTGATCTGGAAAATACCTACAGTTAAGGTAGGTATGGGTGCATTTTTATTTTGGGAGACAAAATACTTACATACAGTGACTGTTTTTTATGTATTTATATGATTTTTTTAGTAGAAATTAATAATTATAGAAAGATATTATTTTCTAAAAAATTAATTGTTATTGTATAATCTAAATTAGCAAACTAAAGATATATAATTATAAAAATATATTAATTTATTTAAATAGTATAGTTAAGAATAAATTTAATTGTTTTACATTACCTAGACCCATTAAAAATGTATTATTTAGTTAGTTAAATATGTAAGTAAATATTATGTTTAATAAATAATATTGCAATATATTTAAAATAACTTATCAACTAATTAAGCCATAATATTATTTTTTTTGATAATATCATATTTAGTATAAATAATAGGAAAAAACATTTACATTAAATCATAAATTATGACTCATAAGTAACTTAATATTGTAATAAAAATTATATTATAAACTACTGATCTAAGAATATGTTTATAATTTATTTAAAAATTATTTATCAAAACAACTAATAATTATATGACTTTAAATGGTATTAATTTACTTAATAAATGTACCATGTTAAATTTAGAAAAATAACATTTATATTTTATAAAATTTGATGTGAAAATTATTATTTCCTCTAACTTATAAGAGGAAATTGTTATTTTTATAAAATATTTAATTTTGATTTCTATAACTAAATCATTATATTATTTAACATTTATACTTTTTTGAATACACAATCGATATGTAATACAGTAAATGATATTGAATTATTAGAAAAATGGATACAAACATTGTTTGCTATTATTTAATGATTTTAGCAATTTTTCAGGTAAAAGTCAATTTTATGAATTATTGTTTTGAAATATTATAAATTGTTAGAAATTATTTTCTTTTTGTTTCGAAATTATTGTATTAGTTTATGACATTTATACAATCAGCTAATATCAATCAACCAATTACTAAGCTGGGTGATTTTAAAAGTCAACCAAAACAATTGAAAGGATATCTACAGCGATATTTATGTGCCAAACTTGGTAGCAATATATGCTCGGACAGCACCCCTATAGATATTTCTGTATCGGTTATTATGGTGTCACTTGTGATATGTTTTTTACATGTTTGGTAAATATTTGTAAATAACAATATTTGTTGAATTAATATAATATTTAGTATTTATTATTTATATTGTATAATAATTATTTACGATCATTTTTAAAAAATATCTTTAAATAGATGTAGTGTGAAATTATTTATAAAATAATGTTATAAATTAATACTATTAATAAATAAAATAATAAAATAAAATTTATACATATAAATATTTTTAAATGTTGAACTATAATTATATTAGATTAGACATTAGATTGTAATCTTATAATAAATGTTTACTATCATTAATTATTTTTAAACAAATAGTTTTAGTAATTATTTATAAATAGTATTGAATATGTAAATAATAAATTTAATATTTTATCAATTATTGTGACTCATCATCATATTATATTTAACTAAATTTTAAACATAATAATTTTCAGTTATATAATAAAAATTTATTTTTGCATAACTACAGACAATATTATGCCAGGAAATAAACAAAATAATATATATAAATATATATATAAATCTTATTTCTAAAATTATATATAATTGGAAAACATTTATAACCTTAAATAGAAATTTTTTATATGAATTGTTTAGAATTGGAAAAAACATAAAATATTTATATTAATATCTAAATACTGTATCAATATGTTATAAAAAATTGTTTAATTGTCAAATATAGTATTATATGATAAATTTATCATGCGCTACTATTACTTTAAAGCAATATCATATACCGTATAAATTTTGGTAATTGAATTGACCAAATAAGGTAAATAACATATTTTTAAATAACATATAAAAAGATAACAAATTCAAATTTATTTATTATTTAAATATACTATTATATATAGATTAAATTCAGATATATAATAACTTATCTAATTATAATAATAATAAACACAATGATAAAGTATATTATAATTTATTTGATATGTACTTTATCATTGCATTATTGTGAATCTATTGATGATCTAACAATTGATCATGGTAAATTAGTAGAAAATATATCATCAGTATTTTCCATTGATTTAAATCCCGATCCGCGAAAAATTGCTTCCGAAAAATGTGAACATAATCAATGTTGCAAAGATTTTGTCCATGAAATCAATGATTGCAGAAAACGTAAAGTAGATGACAAACAAATTATCAAATACAGACTAAACCTAAATACTATGTGTTGTGTCACTGGTATAATGTTGGATTGTTCAATCAAAATTGGACAGGTATGTCAGCAATTTTTCATATATATTTAATTTAACTAATTATAAATTATTTTTTTTAAAAATATTAATTAATAATATAAATAAAATCACTATTATTTGAATTTAATATACATATTTACAACTACTGTAGTAATAGTAATAATAATATATTATCATAAATAAATTTAATTAAAACTTTTTGATAACTTTATTATAAAACAGTAATTTATTTATTAGTATAATAGTATATATTTAATTAATTTTTTAAAAATTATTTTTGATTTTATTGTTATACTTTAATAAATTTAATTTTATAGACTAAATGTGGCGATTATTATAGAAAAGAAGTCGAAGCGTTCAAAAATCAAATCAATAGTAACAGTAGTCTATGTTATAAATATCCCATTATAAGTGGACGCAACTATTGTTCGTCGAGCACCGGCATATTAGCCACTGTGTCGCTTATCATACTGTCCATAATGGCCAGTTATGCTTTTATGTTATGGTAATTCATTGGAAAAAAAAGATTTACTATTGAATTGAATTTTTTAATTTGTTATATTTAAGTTATCTCTCAACTGTACTTATCAATTCTCTAAACTATTACATTATTTGTTAAATAATATTTTAAAAAGTAAATTAATAACAATTTATAATCATAATCTTTATTATTAATTAAAAATTTCTATTTTTATAAATTATTTATAGATATCATATAAATTTTTAATTGTTTGTAAACAATGTTGATTATTTATATAAATTCTTATGCTAGATAATATTTAATTATTATTTTGTTGTTTAAAATAAACTATATGTTAATTAAATTAAAGGTAAGATATGATTAAATATTTATAAATAATTTATTTCTAAACTAATTCTAATAAAATAACCATTCATATTTTAAAGATTCAAATTAAATATATATAATTGAATATTCTATACTAAAACTATACTACCAATAAAATTACAATTGAAATTACGATATCTATAAATAAACTGTATATTTACATATGATTTAGTATTTGATTTAATATTTGATTTATTAATAATATATGATTTAATATAAATAACTTTAAAAAATAATAAATTACAATATTATAAAAGTACTCAATGCTGCCGTCTAATAGAAAATTATGAAAACTAAATAAAGTATATTGTACAATATAATTTTTATACATATACTTATAAGTTCGGGGGTGTAGCTCAGATGGTAGAGCGCTCGCTTAGCATGCGAGAAGTACGGGGATCGATACCCCGCACCTCCACTTTGGTATTTTTTGCTAATTTTAGTTTTGTTATTTACTAATTATTAACATTTTTATTATGTGATGTGTGTGTAAAAATAGATACTTTCTTTTATATAATAATAATTTTTTTTCGATAGTTAATTTCATAGTAAACATAGCAAATGTAACTATTTTATACATATTTTTAATATAAATTATTAACATACGGTATTAATTTATTAATATTTTATTTTTAAAAATGATTTGTTATTATATTTTAACAACAAAATTAAATAAAAATTAATATTGTATTTACAAATATAATAACTATTATACAAAATTTGTATTACAAATACATGTAAAACAGTAGATAATCGACAGTACAATTGATTATCATATGATTTCTATATCATATATTTACCGATAATTTAACATAAAATTAAACAAAAATTATTAATATATTTTAAATAAATGGTAATAATAATAATAATTTATATTTAACTTTTATAATAAATGTTTGCAATTGATTTTTCTATGAATTAAAATTAAATTGATAGAAAATATCAATCAACTAACTATTTAAATCTAAAAATTTACGATAATTATCAAAATTAAATAGTTTATAATAAAATTATTTATATATAAAAAAAATAATTATACTTTAATTAATTTTTTAAAATATGATAATAGTATTAATTTAATTTAATTGAATAAATTGTTAACAATTATTATAATCAAAACAATTATTGTTTGTTTGAAATATTAATTAAATTCAATGAATATAATCAAAAAACAATATATCATATGATCTATAAATATGTGATTCAAATGACTGTCTGATCCAATCATTTCCTAACAAAACCGATCCTTTCATGAGTGGTCAGGTCTTTGGGTTTGAGACCATTGCCAGTAATACCGGTGCCCGACGAGGACGAGGAGGCGGCCGATGATGACGATGACGACGACGGATCAGTAGTCTTGTTGTTGCTGTTGTTTGTCTGTTGTTTATGTCTGTCTTCTTGATCTTTGTTGATCTCGTCGTACTCTTTCATGTCATCCAATTTAAGTTCAATACGAGTGGCCGGACGTCGGATCATATCTATTGGATAAATATGGGAACAGTTGTGTCAAATATAGATCAATCGGTCGGTTAGTTTGACACAACAAACACCGTCACTACTATTGGTACTAATGCTATGATAATTAGGATATATATATATCAGTAATGTATTTAAATATCTAGAAAAACAATATATTTATTAATATTAACATTAATTTGTTTACAAATATTTTATAATATTTTTTTTTTAAATAACAAATGTTTTATTATTTCATTGACTAAACAAACAATACGCGCTTTCCTGTCGTGGATTTGGTACTTTTTTATATTACAAACAAATTATTATTTATTGCCAATTTGACACTATTATAAAATGGTATTAATTTGCTATTTTAAACTTAACATATTAACTTAACTTTTTTATTTTTTTTATTGTCTTATACACTAAACATTTTCAGAACAAACTCGGTACTTTTTTATTTATGTTACTTATGTTTTTTGTGCTACATTTGGTAATTATAAAAGATACCATATTGTCATGTGTTGTTTAAAAAAATGCGACATCATTTATGTAATTATATAATTATTTAATAGAGATATAGTTACACAAAAAACATATGTAATATACATAAAAAGGGCCCGAGTTTTCGATTACTCATAAACCGTGTATTTGAATTTGTAAAATATAAATCATATTATTTATAAATTTTTAACTTTAAATTATAATCAATGTATTACTGTATTAAATGTAGTCATGATGTTTTTTATTGCAATTAAATTTTCAGATATTTGCAATTATTTTAAAATGTTACTTAATATTATACATAATATGTATTACATATATATAAATTGTAATAACAATTTAATTAAACTAACATTTTTATTATATTTTAAACAAATAATTTATAAAAACAGTTGAATTATATATATTTATTCATCATCTACATGTATATAAGTTATTAAAAAATTTAATCAACTAATTAAATTTTTGTACAATATTGACAATACAGTATAATTATTATCATAATTTTCTATAAAAATTACTGAATATTTTCCAACACTATTTTAAATTTTGTAATTATTTTAAGTAAATTTGTAATCAAAATTTAATTATAATAATCATTTATATATATATATATATATATACATGTATATATAATATTACTTAAATCATTGTACTGTAATAAATAAAATGCAACACAAAACACACATTTTTTCTTTCATTGCAATCAACTTGTAATATACAATATAATATCTTATAATTATTAAAACATTTGATATAATGTTTAATTAAAAAACAAAGATAGTAAAAAAAAGTTATTTTGAAATTGATAGCTAAAATATACTTGGGTAAATATTTAATTATTTTTTTTGTTAAAAAAATTTATTTATAAAATAGTTAATTAATGTGTAAATACTAGATCTGTCAATTTTATATTGATATATAAGTTATTATTATTATTATATTGAATTTCCATTTATTGACGTCTATTTAGCATTGGTATTGTACCTACATTTTACACACAGTGTGTATTACAGGCATACCTTTCTACACGTATGCCTGTCCTGTGAGAAAAAACTAAGGGTCTCCTCATGGATGATGACGTCTATTAGTATCGATATGTTTGTTAGGTTACCTCCAAAACCCATACCTGTCTCTCTCTCTCTCTCTCTCTCTCTCTCTCTCTCTCTCTCTCTCTCTCTTACCTAATGTTATTGAAATGTATGTAAGTATTGCATGCGTGAGAGATTAGATGTCTTAGTAGATATTGTTTTACGATATGTTATATACTATGTAAACAAAATAAAAAAATACTTAAATTTAAAGGTAATATCAAAAAAAAATAAAAAATAAATATTGTGTGAGAAAACCAAAGTGTTAGCAATAAAATCTAATAAGTAAAATATAAGAAAAAAAGTTATATATATTTTTTAATAAATCTAATGTTAAGTAAATAGTAGTATTTCACTCATTAAGTAAAAAAATTTAGTTCAAGTTTATCACAAATATAAATGTTTTTTTTGTTAATTTTCTTTTAAAATAAGTAAATCTAGTAATTAAAAATATAATTTCATTGTTTTTGAATAAATGTTCATAAGTATTATATAGACATTTTTTCAATATAGATTAATATTTTATACTTTAATTTAGCTTAAACTATATCAAAATATAAGATACTATTCATAACTATTTTAATTTTAAAAGAAAAACATAGATACAGTACCGTATATAGTATAAAGCATATAAATTATAACATTAAAACCATTAATCATTAAAACATGTGAAAATAGTGGTAAAATCTATTTAAATTGTTAGTTAAATCAGTCATCCGATAAAATGAAAACTAAAATAAAACATTGCTAAATTGCAAATTTTTATTTATTTATATTATTTATACAATTATTATAATATTAAACTAACAATTGATATTTATATATTGTATAAATAATATAAAGCTGATATTTCTTTTGTAAAATATTAATTGCGGAAATAAATAATATTAAAGTTTTAGTAATGTTATAAAAATTTATAAATTAATAAAAACTATGTGTAAACTTGAAATTAAACTAAATTACATATAAATAAGTAGCGGATAAAACATAAATTATAATGAATAATTACAATTTTAATACATTAACTAATATTTATTATTTGTACATTTATATGCATTTTTATTGTTATGACATTATTATTGCTAAAAATTTTATAATAGTTTTTAAAAATAATAGTAATTAATTAGACATAGTATATGATACACACTATGTTTCACATTGTATATTTGATTTGTTTATCAAAATAAATAAAATTATAACTAAATAAACAAATGTTGATCTTATAAATGCAATTTCTAGTCTAGCAGTAAATTTTGGGATATTTTTGTAACATTAATCTCTATTTACATCCCATTCCCTGAAACGCAAACCGGGAATCTCGCGATTGCAATAATACTGCACCTGAGGTTAATGTTGCACAGGTATGGTATATATATATATATATCGCTATTTTGGTGACCACCTTAACGCCAATTATTAATGCCAAACCTTGAATAACCAGAGTATAAGAGTATAACTATTTGATATCACATTTTCTTGGAGAATAGGGATAGAAATAGAGAGAGAGAGAGAGAGAGAAGAGAGAGAGAGATTTGAAAACATGAATTTTTCCTGTAATTTCACTAATATTTCCCAGTCAAACAGTCAAACATTTATTAATCCCTGAGCCACGCGCAGGGAATCAGTTTAAAAATAATATTAAACACACATTTTTTTCTCTCTCTTTCTGTATCTCAAACTTAGTATCAAATGTATAAATATAGTGTATTTATAAGATATTTATGTTTTAAACTTTTTTTTGCATCAGAAAGTAAGAAAGTCTTTAATTACTATACAATTGTTTGCTAAGTTTATCACTTAATATATTAATAAAATATATGAATGAAAAACTATTTTTTTCAATCATTTGTTTTTCATTTGATAAAAACACTACAAATATTTTCTCAATTGTTAACGAAAAACAAGTTATTATTATAATTATATTATTTATTATTATTTATCATTCAAACTGTTAAAGTTATAAACTAATGAGGACTTAATATTTTTCTTTAAAATATATTTTGTTTTATTTTTATGTGTGAAATAATGTGTAAAAAACTTTTTTTTAAAATAAATCTATCTTTTTTTTAAAAAAAATTGTAATCACTTTCTCTATTAAATTATAACCAAATATGTGTGTCATTATTGCTTAATAATAATAAAATAATTTAATAGGCAAACAGTACAAACGATAAAAACCAAATATCATAAAATAACATAACTTTAGATATTTACTTAATTGTCTCTTTCAAATAATATGTGTAAGATTATTTAATAATAAAATAGCAATCAATATTTGTTTTATGTTGATGTAAAATATTTTTTTTAGTTTTACTTTTTTAAAATAATTTTGTAATAATTTTTTTATTTACTGTGTGTGTGTGTGTGTGTAAAATATTTACTATAAAAAAGTTTATTAATACATCTATGAGTGCTATTTATATTAAATTGATGTTAAGTCAAAGTAAATTTCCATTTTATAAACCATATTTGCATTATTTTTATTAAGTATTACTTGTAATTTAATTGTTTGTTTTGTGTTAATAATAATAATAATAAAATTATTTTTAATTTCAAAGTCAGTGCAAAACAAATAAATCAAATTCAAAAATCGTGTGAACGACTTCTGTGATTAATATTTATTATTATTAAAATTAAGTTATTATTATTATTATTATTATTTCAAATATATAATAATAATAACTAATTATGGTTTGAGTTGACAAAACCAAATCATTGATCTTAACAGTTAAGACAAAGTATATATAAATATATTGAAAGCAAAATATTTTAACACAAAAATCAAGTTTTCCTTCAAAATTAACACTAATTTTGTTATATTTTTATTCATAGTGAAAGTCTCTCAAAAAAATGTTATTTAATTTTATAAGAAAATGTAACTTATATTTAATCGTGAATTTTGCGATCAATGTCTCAATGAGCTGTTTTCAATGCAATCAAATTTTTAAAATTTAATTATAATTTTTTTAAAAATCTTTTTGTTTTTGTTATTATTTATTTTTTATTTTTCTAATAAATATTAATTTTGTGATGAACTAACATTTTTGTTAAAAAATAATAATAATAAATTACACACACATTATGTAAACTACGGTTAAAATTTGTTGTCCTGATATTGAAAACCGCATTTCAATAATTATTTACTTTGAAAACAAAAAAAAAGTTTATTTAGACATTAAATTGAGAATTTAGTTTTTTTTAAATAAAAAACTATCAATAAATAATAAAATAGTGTTTTATTTCAATGTGTTCATCAACTAAACCTAAACTATCAAATTTTATAATTTAGTTTTGCTTAAAATTAATAAATATATTTTAGTTAATGCAACAAAATTCAACAATATTTACAAATTTAATTCACGCAATAATTAATAATATTTTAAATTAATTATTGCATATTTAATAATAATAATAATATAATAATTAATTTGAGACCAGACAGGTGTTCATATCATAGGAGCAAAAACATGTCTCATCAAAGACGGCTATTGGTCTCAGTATTTATACTACTTGTGCGACTAGTGGTCAATCTCTATACATATACAACACTACTCTACTATTATTTGACACAAAAGCCGTGGACTCGGCGCCGAAAAGCGGCTAAACTGAGGTCAATATTGGAGAATCCGGGCGATCCTAACAGCGCTTGGGTTATAAACGAACAGACACTAAGCCATCCGGTTATGAGACCTACCGTTACCGAAGTTCTTAACGTTGTTGTCCAATATCATGGACAGCACACACCTATCCTCGGTAAGTGTTGTTTGTATGTTTTGTTCAAGGTTGTTTTTATGTCTCTTTGTTCTATGGTTTCAATTAAAATAAATTAAGTTATTTATTTATTTGATGAATATTTTAAATAGTTGTTTTTAGATTCTAAAATATAAAAGGGCCTTACATTAATCTCGCACACGCGGTTTTTCCTATAATTCTTAAACGGAGTGAGATATATTAATTTTGTAAAAAGAGTATTAAAAAGTGATTTACGCGTGATATTATAAAATATTAAATTTTTAATTTTGATCACGTGATCATATTTATTCTTGGATCTTTGCAAACCACTATGTCATAACCTAAACTATAAATGCTAAAATAAAATTTCAATAGTAAGTTTGTAATGCCTAAACTGGAAATTTATAGGAAGAAAAAATTTTTAAAATTGGTCGAAGAATAAATTTTTTATGGTTTTTCAAACTTGTGGAAAAACACATTATATAAAATTGTGGAAAATAAAATGACGTTATTTATGGACAGTAGACACTTATTAGATAGAGATTTTAATACTATTGCTTATTCTAAAAACAAAATTTTTTTATGTCAAATATTTTTTTAGATAATCAAATTTAATTAAAAATTGCATTATCGAAATATAATGTTGTGTTTTTTATTGTAATTTAATTATCTAAAAAAATATTTAACATAAAAAAATTTTGTTTTCAGAATAAGCAATAGTATTAATATCTCTATCTAATAAGTGTCTACTGTCCATAAATAACGTCATTTTATTTTCGACTATTTTATATAATGTGTTTTTCCACAAGTTTGAAAAGCCATAAAAAATTTATTCTGCAACCAATTTTAAAAATTTTTTCTTCCTATAAATTTCCAGTTTAGGCATTACAAACTTACTATTGAAATTTTATTTTAGCATTTATAGTTTAGGTTATGACATAGTGGTTTGCAAAGATCCAAGAATAAATATGATCACGTGATCAAAATTAAAAATTTAATATTTTATAATATCACGCGTAAATCAATTTTTAATACTCTTTTTACAAAATTAATATATCTCACTCCGTTTAAGAATTATAGGAAAAACCGCGTGTGCGAGATTAATGTAAGGCCCTTTTATATATATATTTATATATATATTTATATATTTATTTATATCCAGCATAATTATTAGATATCTAAAATTATAACTAGTTTATTAGTATTTTTTGTGTATGTTGTTTTAATAAATAAAATTATAATCAATAATTCATCAACACCACACACACACACACACACACATTATCACCACAAAACACATTTCAATGTCAATTTATGTCATCCATATTAATATATATATACTGGATATACAGTATGATATTAATATTGCTAAATAAATTTATTTTTTATAAATAACATGGCTAGCTCGTGATATAGTTAGCAGCTGTGACTAAATTAAATTAAACTTGGTAATTATTATATATATATATTGTATATAAAATATACTGTAATTAGTGAATAATTACCTAACTATCAATACTTTAATGTATTATTTTAGAAAAATTATTTCAAGTTCACGACTAAATTAATTGAAGTGCAGTTCCCCTCCTAACCTCTCATAAACACCTAAATTAATTATAGATTTATGTGTCACTTATATGTATCAATAATCACTAAGTAATAATAATTATTATTATATTTTGAGTATATTTTCTAATTTAATTTGTAGTTTTAATTTAATAGCAAAAATTATTTGTTTTTCTAAAATAATAAGTTTAAAACATAATTTTTGAAAATATAAAACTGTAATAAATTTATAATAAATAATAGGATATTTTGTTTTCAAAATAATGAGGAAATAACTGAAACTTTTAGATGATTTTTTAAAAACGTTTTATGATATTGTGTTACATAAATTTTAATAAAATGCAAATATTTTTTTTTAGATTTAACATTGTTTTATAAGTTAAACATATACTAAGAAAATATGGTTAAAATTTTAATAACTATTAAATAAATCAGTAAAAAACACGCACTAGAATATATTAATTTTATAAAAATTATTGCAATTATTAATACAATAAAAATAAATATGTAATTTTTAATAATTTATAATATCAATAATTTATTAGTTTTTTATTATCACTTTACATAATATTTTTAATAGATTATTGATGAAAATAAATAATGATATAATAATGAGATTATTTTGCCTGAAAACATCAAATTAAATACGGTTTTATATCTATTATTTGTTAACATTTAAGTATCTATTATGAATTATACCGAGAAAAATCATAACAATTGTAATGTGATTTATTGATGACATTTGCCTAAATTTTGAGGAAACTTTTGTTTAAATTTTATTTTATGCACTTATTGTTTAACAAATTTTATTTATCTAAAATACAAATGCAAATAATTTATAACTTTACAACTTTACGATTTGTTTTTATTAAAAAAAATAGTTTATTATTACTAAAAAATAATTAATTGTCTTTTAAATTACACATAAATTATTGCTAAAAAATTGTGTCTTGAAATTTATACTAATTTGATAATTTATTAAATACTTTTACAGTTTATTATAGATCTATTATTTATTACTGTTATTCACAATATTAATAATTTATAATTATAGTAACATTGTATGATAATATTATAATTTACTATATAAATTAAAATACAATAATATAATAAAATATCATTTTATTTTGTTATATATTTGATAAAATACAATTTGAACATTAGTTTTGTTGTATTTTTTTTTGTTAGTTTGAAAAATAATAGTAATTGTAATAAATTAATTAAATTGAAATAATAGGTTATCGAGAAGTGTTATCCTGTGAGGACTCGATTGGTAGGGACGGTAAGGTCAAGCGTATTGATGGCCGATCACTTAAAAAGTATAAACTTAGCGATTACAAATGGTTGACATATGGACAGGTCGATGTCATCACCACTAATCTGGCCAAAGGTTTACTGTCCAACGGTTGCTCTTTTGGCGACAAGATATTGATATTATCCGAGACAAGGGTCGAGTGGTTTCTAAGCGCTCAGGCCGTCGCCAAATTGGGTGGTACTGTAGTCACACTGTTCTCTAATTTAGGTAGTGTTTCCCAAAAAAAATATTTAAAAAAATAAGATTACTAAATAAATAATATAATACAACAATTAACTTTTAAGGCGATGAGGGCATCGTATACGGTATCAATCAAACGGAAGTCAAAGTAATGATAGTGTCCAGCGATCTAATGCCAAAAATACGGTCATTAATAGCTCGCATACCTACTGTCGAGACTATTGTCTACATAAGCCACAGTTTTATGTCGAAAGATGACATAAAATTGTTTACCGACGGTTTTCCAACAAACATACGACTCCAGTCGTTGGCCGACATCGAAGCGGCCGGCACTACGGCACAGTCCGTCCAGTTTCAGGCACCGCGACCCGAAGATCCCTATATCATAATGTATACTTCTGGCACTACGGGTACACCAAAAGCAGCCATTGCAACGCACCGGCAGATGATCAGCGGATCTGCAAATGCTATACTTGTGTTGGTCAAGGATATGATCAGTGATAATCGTAATCATACGTATATAGCTTTCCTACCACTGGCACATGTATTAGAACTAACCATCGAGTTTTTTCTATTTTATGGTTAGTTAAAGGGAAGGCATGTTAAGTTAATGAATATATATTTAAATTGTTTTCATCATTGTTTTATTAGGTGGTGTCCGTATAGGTTACGCCTCACCGTTCACACTTACCGATTCGGCTCCCGGTCTAGCCGCTGGCCAAAAATGTGACATTAAACTACTAAAGCCGACAGCCATGACTACTGTTCCTCTAGTGTTGGATCGCATTCTAAAGGAAGTGCACGACAAACTCAACGCCCGGACTCCGGTTTCAGTGGACTTTTTTAAATACATAATGAGCTACAAGGCTCAGTGGGTACAACGTGGTTACCAGTGCCCGATAGTCAACAAACTAGTTTGTAATAAAGTCCAACAACAGTTGGGTGGGCGCCTCCATATTATGATTGTCGGCGGCGCTCCGCTCAATGCCAACACTCAAGCTGTGATCAAATCGGCATTAGATGTCATACTAGTTCAAGGTATGTATTGTTTTTTATGGCTCTACTATTGCCGTAGAATCCCTGTCCTCCAAATTGTTTAGTACTTTATATTTATACTTATGGATAATTAGTAGCATAAATATGGCATTATTTGTGATAATTGATGTCTCAATGAGAAACAATAAAAATATCTAATAATTGTTATCATTGGTGAAGAAAAACATTAATAGTTTTTTTAGATGTTTACCAATAGTTTTAATATATCATATTTTTTGTTTATGTGATTAGTATTGTAATTACAATTCAATTATAATAATGTTTTTAATGTATTAATAGTTATCAATTTTTAAAAATCTTTTTTTTTAACATTTATCAAAGATTTTTGTTATTTTATTGTCAAAATAAAATAATTTATATTTAATATATCAATTTGTTAGTAAATTTTTCATTTTGTTTGATTTGTTAATTAAAGCCTACTTTCTTTTTTTTCTCCCTGTCCTCTGTGAAGGTTACGGTGCCACTGAAACAATGGGAGCCGTTTTATGTAAGTTTACTATACATAAGATTTTATTGATTATTAATTTTTGTTGTTGATGTTTTATAAAACAAAACTATCAATTGTTATGTCATTTTAATTTTTTGTTTTTCAAAAAAAATTGATTTGATTAACAATTCTATATAAACATATATATTTATAAAACAATACTAACATTAAATTTTTTATGCGATTATTATTATTATTACTAAAATAATGATTATGTAATCTCTAATATATTATTATTATTTAGGTATGGACTTTAATGATTTATCATTTGGACGGGTAGGCGCACCATTGCAGGGCATCAAAGTCAAACTCATTGACTGGGATGAGGTACTATAGACGGGATGGAGGGCTCATTGAATATATCAATACTTTTTATCTATAAATATATATCGTATTATTTAAAACAAAACAAAAAATATAGGGTGGTTATCACCGATCGGACAAACCTAACCCAAGAGGTGAGATAGTTATCGGTGGCGACTCAGTAGTCACGGGCTACTATCAGGCGCCGGATCAGACAGAAGAAGCCTTCCGGATGGACGACTCTGGTGTCCAATGGTTTTATACGGGAGATATCGGCGAAATGTTTCCCGACGGTACCTTCAAAATCATTGATCGCCGCAAAGATTTACTAAAACTACAAAATGGTGAATATGTGTCACTCGGAAAAGTAAGTAATAATTTTTGTTTTGTTATGTGTTTTTTTTTGGAGATTTGAATCTTATGTACTTTTACCTACCTGTGCTGCTATTGTGTCACTATTTTACCCTTGAAATGCAATGAAACTTTACCGTTAGATTGTATTTAGTTTTATATCAGCAATGTTTTTATGGGAAAATTTTTATGTTTTAAAAGATTTATGTCTTTTATAAACATATAATGTAATAGACATTGTTATGCAATGTATAATATACTGTATATACAGTATAATACATTTAGTTATTATAACGTTTGCTATAATTAAAAACTGAGGATAAATTTTCCCTTAAATATTTAATTTATAATTTTGTACACAAAAAAATAATTTTGCTATTTTTGTTTATTTTTAATTATTATATATTCGTATCCAGTTTTTTGGCATAAAATCTATTGACATTTGAATAAAAATTTTACTTTTATACCAAATCCTTGAGATACACACACATACACAGTATAGATGATTCAAATGATTAGACAAATATCATACATTGATAACAATCAATTTGTAATTAATATAATATTATTAATGTAAAAAATTGGTTGTTTTTCTACCGGAATTTAATATTATATTGAATATAAGTTTATATAACTATATATACAGTATATATACTATTTTATTGTCAATGATTTTGTTTGTTTAATCAATGTAACACACAAACACACACTCATACAGATTTTAACTGATTTAAAATACAAGCTTTAAGTAAAATATGCAAGGTTAATTTAGAGTACATATCAAGGTACTCAATCATCATCATCATCATCATCTGAAAAAAAAATCTTATTGTAATATAAATTAATTAATTATACAAAGATTAGATAAAAGCAAACAAAAGTTTTTTAACCGCAAGTTATTTATCAATAAACACAACATTAAATACATTATCTATAAGTGGATTATAAAACTTTTTAAAATTAAGAGCAATCATAATATTTTAGAGAAAAAATTGTATATTTCAAATATTTAGTATTGAATTTACATTATATACAAGGTTATTTTTAAAAACATCGTATTATAATTATTAAATATTTATAATATATTGATTGCAAATATTATAATAAATCTGATATTTTTTTTCTTTTAAAAAACAAAACAAAAATAATTACTATCAGATTGAAGCCTTAATGAAGTCGTGTCCATACGTGGACAACATATGTGTGTGCGGCGGCACCTACAGCAACGATCTGACCGCACTGGTCAGTCCTAACCAGAAAAATCTACTCAAACTGTGCCAAGAGATGGGCATCCGTGACGCCCACATTCATGACATCTGTGCCAACCATGAGATAACCAAACGGGTCTATCAATCGATTGTCAGTACAGGACAGTCGGCCGGTATCTCCAAAAAAGAGATACCCATACGTATATGTCTGGTGCCGGACGAGTGGACACCCGATAACGATATGCTGACCGCAGCCATGAAAATGAGGAGAAAAAATGTTGAACAGAAATATAGGAAAGAGATCGACGCCCTCTTCAATGATGACATCATTAACAACAACAACAATATTAGTAAAATTATTAAAAATAGTAATAATAATAATAATGACAGCAATATTAGTAATAAAAATGTTAACAAAAATCACATCAAACTTGAAAACAGGGTTTAATAACTAGTAGTACAGTAGTAGTAGTTATAAGTAATAGTATTCCGCAAAAAAATGTATGTTTGAAATATTTTATTTAGCATTAAATATATGTTTTTTTCTAATATTATTTTCATTATAATTATTATTTTAATTCAAAAGTATGGTATATATTTTTATATATATATTTTATAATAATAATATTTAATCGAATTATACAATTTTATAAAACTATTTTATTTGCATTATCGTAAAAATATTTATGTTTATTTTTGTGTAAATTTATGATATATTATTATAATGTAAATTATAAATATTTGTTGCTCAAGCTAACTTTTTTGTTTATTAAAAAAAAGTTTAGCTTATTTTTTATTCAAAGCTAAAAGTATTACATATAAATCATAACTAATTTTTCTGAATATGTATGGGTTTTAAACTTATTTTTTTTGTATTAATTAATTAGTTTACACAACGACGACCTTGATTATAATTAATATTAATTTAAGAGACATTTATACAAATTTAATCCAATATTCATAAAATATGATTATCAAAAAAAATATGAAATCAAATATAATATTTGCAAAACATTTGTCATTTATTTAATAAAAATTATTTTAATATACAGTATATATATAATTTTCAATATATTAATTGTTTATTATAAACATATAATAAGAATCTCATTGTATAATTATTATTTTTATAAGTAATAAACTTTTTTTAAATTTAGAAATTAAAAAATAATTCTATAAATAAGTTATAATAAATAGATAATTAACAATTTTTAATTATTATTAAACAACATTATTATATAACTATAAGTTTCATATAAACTATTATGTCTCATTTTTAAAATACATTTATACTAATCAAATACACACACAACAAAAATTCAATTTATTAATTTCATAAAGTTATCAAGGTTACAGAAAAATAACAATAATAATAACAATTATCTATATATATTATTGCTATGCTACTCACGTATTTAACTACTATGAATACATACTTAACCACACAATCAATGATAAACTTATTATTAACAGTCAAATTATTTTAATATATTTATAAATTATATATAAAATAATATAAAAAATGCATCGTTTTTTTGTATCATCATCTATCATGTTTTTATAGAAAATATTATTAATGATAAAAAAATTATTTTACTATTATATTATATAATTTATATATATAAAGTATATACTGTATATGTATATATATTGGTATTTACTGTATACTAAACATTAATACATGACTGTGTGTATTTTATCAACGACAAAAAAATAATCATAATGTTGTAAATATATGTCTAATAAATATTAAAATATTTTTTTCAACAAACAGACAAAACACTAGTTGGTATAATATTTTATATACATTAATAGTAGTAATAAAATTTAATATTAAATATATTTAATAGGGTTTGTCAGTATTATACAGATATATACTGATTCAATGATAAAATATTGTACATACAAGTAAATACAGTACTTAAAACCTTATATGTAGATTATGAGCACTTGATAAACACCTACCAATTTTTTTATACAGTATTATTATTATTATTATTAAGCCATTTGTATGCTTATATTTTTACCCAAATGTGTGTTCATTGATGAGATCAAAGTCAAAACTAATTTTTATAAAATACTTAATTAATTTTTTTTAAAAGTATTGTTTTTATAATAAATATAAATATATAATAATAATAATACTACTTTTTGCCAACAAAAATGCCGATTGATTTATATTATATGCCGGAGTCGCCACCATCGAGGTCTGTGCTAATGGTGGCTAAGCACTTGGATGTTAAAGTAAATATTAAACCATTGGACATCCTAAAAGGGGAACACCTAGAACCTGACTTTATTGAGGTAATAATAATAATAATAATATATTATACTGGTTATATAATAATTAATTAACTTAATTAATGAATTTATAATGAGATAGTTAAACCCATCTCATACAATACCGACAATTGTTGATGAAGATCTGGTACTATGGGAAAGTCGGGCCATTATAACCTATCTGTGCAATCAATACGGTCCGGACTCGCCGTTATATCCACAAAATACTGAGGAAAGGGCTATAGTGGACAAGTGGTTGCAGTTTGATTTGGGAACACTATATAAGTCTATTTTAGACTATACGGTCAGTTTAGTACATATACTGTATTTATATATATATATATATATATATATAAAGTAAATTATAAATATATACGATATATACTACAGTATATATATTACATATATTACTATATATTATATAGACTACTCTACTTCAATACTATAGAGTAGGTGCGGTTAGAAATGTCAGGTCTAACTTATCTAAATTAAATAGAAATTTAGTAACAATAGTAGTTAGTTATAAAATTTAATAATAACTATTTTTTATGTACAGTAATTTATATTTTACTAATAATTTGTTATATAAAATAGTTTATTAATTAATACATTAAATTTAATCAAATATGAATTTATTTTTATAATACAAAATATACACATAATAGTAAACATAGATTTTTTTTTATTAATATAAAGTCTATTTTTGACATAATTATCGCATTTTGTTGCAAATATTTATTATATTTTGCACATATAAGGCCAGTTAGACAAGATTTAAACATACCATAATTTATTAAGCCATAAATAAACAAAATTAAACAAAACTACTTGTGCTATAAAACCATAGCTATACCAAAATGATTGACATTTGATAACAATTTTTTACGTTCAAGTGCTTCAATAACAAGGATATCATTTTTTAAATAGTAATATTTAATGTATTATAGTATATACAATATATAATAGACTATCATTGATAAGTTATAAATATATTTATTTAATAGCATCTAAATTGCATGTTTATAAACTAAAAACACTTAAATACATAAAAATTTATATCAATATATATTTTTTATTTGATAAACAAGCTATTGATAACTAAATACAGTATTTTAATAACAATTGAAATACAATACTTGTTATTTTGTAAAATGTCAAATAAAATTTATTTTATAATTTAAAAAAACTAATTTATGTCACTATTGTATATATGTATTGTAGTCTCCCATGTTTGAGGGCAGTATCAAACTGGACAAACAAAAAGAGCAGACCATGTGTTCGGCACTGGAACTGTTGGACAATCAATTGTCGCAAAATCGTTACGTTTGCGGATCCAAACTAACACTGGCCGACATATCCATCATACAGGGCATCGACCTATTGACCGAAGTCATGGAATACGACATTACCAATCATCGTGACTACAAGTTTGTGGCCGGTTGGCAGGCCAGACTCAGGCGCCGGGATCTGCCCTACTATAGAGAGGTGTGCGAGGATGGCAACGAAAATCTAAGAAATTTTGTACGTTCACAAATACACGGGTCAAATACCAATCCCGCTGCCAAATAGTGAATCAATGATAATAATAATAATAAAAACCTACCTGTGCAATCATTTTACTTAAGTGACTTAAGCTCCCATAGGTTTTTAATTGAAATTTCTTAATTATTAAATTATATGTTTGCATTTTAATTGTCAACAAAAGTAATAAATAATTTAATTATTTTATTGGAATTATTCTATTTATTATAATTTTGATAAAATTAAAGTAGTAAACAAATAAGTAAATAATTTTTTTAAAATATAAATTAAATAAATAAGTTATTATTTTTTTATAAAAATATATATATTAAGAATATTCTGGTGATTATGTGTTAAGTCATATATTTCGTATGAAAACTATTAGGTAAACAAATATCAGCGCAAGTATTGCCAACATTAAAGAGCCTAATGTTTAACAGTTGGATAAATAAAATTAAAAATAAATATTTTTTTGAATAAAAAATATTCAATTTTTTAGCACTACTTTATATATAACTACTGACCCAAACAAATAAAACAGTGTTTTATTTTATATCTGACGGCGCTTTGATCAGTGCACTGGTCTATGGATTCAATTGTTTTTAGTTCAATATTAAACAAGTCTGTGCTAACACTGGCACTGATTTTATATACCAATTCATTGGTACCGGTATTTGCCTGCGTTGGCAAACAATAAGCATTTGTCGGCACCTTATTTGAGTACATTATCTACATTTTCAATGATGAGGTACAGTATTTTAGTACATTTATTTAAACAAATAATGTTTTTTTTTCTAAATTTAATTGTTATAATCTAATTGGTATATATATGGGTCTAATAGTACTTACAGTTTAACTTATTATTATTATTATATATATTTTTAACAATTATTTGACAAAAGTCAAACACATGTGATTGTATATTAAACAAAATAGTTGAACAAAATTAATTTATTACAACCTTTGTTTGAATTTTTATTTAAACAATTGTTGTAATTTTGAGTTAAATGAAAACTTTTCCACTCAATATGATATCATAGTATAAAGTTTTTAATAACAAAAATAAATGTTTAAATTGTTTTAGCTGTTAATTAAATTTTATAAATATATTAATATAATAAAAATACTATAATAGATAAAAGTACTAAATAAATTCTATAATTTATATTAGATGTATTAAATTTCATTTAACAATTTGATACACTATTAAGTTTACTATTAGTATAATACTGTATATTACTCTAGAAATACTTAATAAAAATCACAAAATAATTTGAAATAAAAACAAGATATTAGTTTTGAATGAATTTTAGTAAAAGTATTATAAATGGTTATAAAAAATATTTTTTTAGGTAATAAATGTATTTAAAATTATAATAATGTTTTATATGATTTTATTTTGACATTAATAATATATTAAATAGCTATTCAATGTTATACGATGATATATAATTTATATACAATGTTATATTTATTATAATAAATATAATCATTATTGTATAGAAAAAAGGTGTAAATATAATATATTATATATTAACAATTAGACATTGAAAATTAAATGTTTGTCATAAAGTGGAAAAAATTGCAATTTTTATTAAAATCTATTAACAGTTGTTTACATCAATCTATTTTCAATATTTTTAATTAATAAATAAATTAAAAACATTTTATAATACAATTTAGACTTTGTAATTAAGTAAATAATATATATTTTATTTTATCATATAATTAAGAGTAAATGATTTTTTTGATTTTATATATTTTTTATCTAAATATTGCAAACAATACTAATTATTTGTACATAAAACATACAGTAAATTATATAAGCATTTGTATATACAGTATTATAATTAAGTAAATATTTTAAATAATAAACTGCTTTTCAGTACCACTCAACACATTGTCAACAAATTGCATAAAAATGAACTTGATAAATAGGTTTTTAAAAAAAGTTTTTATTTAATCAGTTTAGTAAATGATTGACATGAAATAATAGTAATTTTGTTAATTATTTTACATTAGAAAAAAATCTGTTCAAACAATATGTATTACTAAATGATATAAAAAGATTATTAAAAAATCAATTTTTTAAATTATTTGTATTTATTAAGTTTTTTTAAAAATAAATAATTCAATCAATTTATATCCAAATTAATTAGAAATAAAACAATATAAACTATGTATTCAAAATTATTACTTCAAGTATTATGTTTATCAATAGTATTGTTTCAGGTTATGGCAAATATAAGATCAGATAATACTGTATTTGCAAACACCGAAAAAAGAGATAGTGAGCCACCAGTGGGACAGTATGACGAAAACAACTCTCCCGATGGTCAACATGAGCGTCGACATCATCATCACCGTCATCACCATAATCATCATCATCGCAAGCAAAATGATGATGAAGAGATTGCACCGATCAGACCGTGGCATCATAAGGGTGCCCATCGTTATCCACCAATGGCCGATCATTCAAACGCAATGTCACAGTTGATGCCATTGTTGAAAACATTGGCCAATCGGAAAGTACAAAAAGCGGGCAAAATAGTGGCCAGTAGTGACTCGGAGCTCGATGTCAACAGCAAAGCTAAGGCTTATGTTATCAGCAAATGGAAGACACAGATCAAGGAAATGCTGATCCATAAAGTCAATAACGGTATTATACATATATATATCTTAGCTAACTGTGCTCTATTAACTATACCTATACAGCTATACTTATACCTGTACTGTATGATTGAATTTTTCATTTATTTCATAAATTATTTATTATTATAATATTTTTTGAATGTATATTATCCTAACACTAGAAAGCAAAGTCTTATCGCGAACTATCGACCAAACGGGTGAAACCAATGCCGTCGTCAATCTGAACGCCGAATTGGATCTCAAAAAGGAAAAACTAGTGAACGGAATCTCATATATGGAGTCAAAACCATCGGAGGTTAGGAAATAACACATAAATATTGATTTATTAGATCCAATCAAACACAATGATCTCAAATCTAATATAAACCTTTTAATTATTACAGAAAAAACACAAACATCATCACCACAAACACCATCATAAGCACAATAATAGCAATCATCATAATAACAGGGATAACCAAGAGGTTAACCAACAACAACATCAACAACAACATCAACAACAAAATCAACAACAATATGTAGCCAACAACGAGGGTCAGTTATATGGTGAACGTCAGTCGTCGTCCCAGCCGTTATCGCGTCACTACCGATACAAACGTGACACTGAAGGTGGAGATGATGGACAAAAAAAGCCGGACATTGGCGGTCAGTTTCTCGCAAAGATAGGCAATGCTTTCAAACAGGCCGGACAAGAGATTGACAAAACAGTCAAAGAATATGCGCCCAAATTTGGCCAAAAACTCAAAGAGATGGCCGACAATATTTTCAAACCACCCAAACCTAACCACGAAAGTCCTACTGTTGCCCCCAAAGAGGGAGAGGAATAAGTCAATGACTTGATGAACATCGGTATTGATTTGTTATCAATAATTATAAATCACTTATTATTAATAATAGTATTATTATTATGAATAAATAATTTTTATTCAATAAAAAATTTGCATATTGTTTATTTAAATTTTTAAAATTATTTTTGTTTTAGTCTTCAATCGATAATTAAATATAATGATAAAATTAAATAATTATTTTAATTTTTAGTTAAAATTATGTTCACAAGAGAAATAAAAAAAACATAAATTTAAAAAGAAAACTATTTATTTAATTATAAATTTAATATCTTTTAAATCATATATATTTATTTTTAGAAAAGTTAGAAAAAACTATACGATTTTCAAGTATACAAATTAGATATCTAATAATAGTTATTCAATATTATGCTATTATACCTGTATATATTATACCAATAAATTACTAATAAATATACTGTATAAAACACATATTAGATATAAAAAATTAAATATATTTTTCTTATATTGATAATGACAACTTTGTGATTTAGTTAAGAAAATCAGTATTATATTTAATAGTAAACAATATAAAGTAATTTTTCTATTAGTAAAACTAACATAACTTTAAATAAAAATTATTTATAAAATCTTAATAAAATATATAGATATAACATAAATTATAATTATTTTATTGATTATAGATATTAAAGAAGTCAAACATTTTTTAAATAAAAATAATAATAAAAATAGCTTAATAAAATATTTATTTTATTTTATTTATAAAATCAGTATTATATTTAATAGTAAATAATATAAAGTAATTTTCCTATTACTAAAACTAACAAACTAAAATTATTCATAAAATCCCAATAAAATATATGGATATAACATAAATTATAATTATTTTATTGATTATAGATATTAAGCAGTTTTTAAGCAGTCATAAAAATAAAAATAGCTAAATAAAATATTTATTTTATTTCATTTCATTTGCATTTAAAATTTTTAAGACATAATTATACATGTATTCTACTAATTAAAATGCAGTTATTTCTTATCCAATTAAATCATATTTTATTTAGATTTAAATAAATTATTATATACTTTTGCTTTTAAATATATAAGCATTTTAAATACATAACTACAAGTTTCATAACTACAAGATTTTTATATTATTAGTAGTTTAATATAAAATTATATTTTTTAAAAATAAGTTTGTAATGTAATTTAATAATAAATATGAAAATTATTATTCTTTCATATATATAATTTAGTTTATTAACTAATTTGTAATTTGGCAAATTGTTTTTTAATAATATAAAATCAATAAAATTTAAATTGATTAAATATTGTAATTATTAAAAATAAGTGAAATGGTAAATAATAAAAATGAATTGGCATTGGCCTGGATCAATTTAAGTTATACACATAAAGGTGTACTAATCAATAGAAAAGAGACGACAATACTTCAGGCACTCAATGGACAAATCAATTTTTATGAAATAACGGCACTCATGGGACCGTCGGGTGCCGGTAAGACAACACTATTGAAATGTGTTAATATGCGGCAACAGTCGGGTCTGTCCAGTAATTCGCAAATATTTGTCAACAAATACATACCGTTGCGGACGTGTTTCATAATGCAGTCGTCCGATGAACACCTGTTAATGGGACTCACTGTTAGGTATATACAGTATATACTGTATTATAATTTATAAATGTAAGTATTGACTAAAAAAAATTATTTTCACAGAGAGTCACTGTTGTTTGCGTCAAAAATAAAAAATCGTGTGACCACTGGCCGCCAATATCGAGATAGTTGTGTCCAAACGGGCGACTCATTGCTGTGTCTCGAGTCCGACAACAGTGGACTTACTTATGATAGCAATGACAACATATACGATGACTTTAACGACACTTTTAACTCTGACGGCAACTTTGATCATAATCTTAATATAAACAAAATAATGTCTGAACTGTTATTAAGTGATTGTGCCGACACTACTGTCCAAAAGTGTAGTGGAGGCGAACAGAAACGTCTGTCAGTTGGCCTCGAGTTGGTTCAGCAAATTAAACCAAACTTATTGTGCATCGATGAGCCCACTAGTGGTTTGGACAGTAATGCATCGGAACTGGTATGTTAGCTGATATGACTATTTATAAGTCAAATATTATATATTAATATTATTATTTGTATTCATTAATTATAGGTTATTCAGTGTCTTAAACAGCTATCAGTGTTGCATCGGATGGCAATTGTCACATCAATACATCAACCAAACTCACTATTGCTCGACATGTTTGACCAGTTGTATGTGTTGGCCAAAGGCGGTCAGTGTGTGTATACCGGACCACCCAATCAATTGAGACAACACTTACTCGATTGCAATATTATATGTCCTCAAGAGGTCCTACCAATTGAACTGTTGCTGAAAATATCGTCAAATGCAACGAAAAACATCTCAAGCATAAAGTCTGATAAAAACAAATGCAACAAAATCTCGAGTGTTTGTCATAAATAAATTGCGATAAAATATTATAAAATAAAATATTAATATTTATAATTGTTTGATACAGTTATCAATGTTTGAGAGGAATGCCGTTGAGATCCGAAAACTATTGGATAAGACAAACAAATCAACGCAAGAGATCCAAGACATATGTCGACTGAATGGCAAACTGGTGTCTAAAGTGGTTGACAAACATAGCGTCGGTTTTAGCTTTTATAACATGTATTACCTATTGTTTCGAGGAATTACTTGTTTTGTATGTAAAATATTATATTTTATGAAATGTTAGATCACTTTCCCATTTTTCGGTTGAATAGTAATAAGACATGTATTACATTTGATTTTTTTTCAGATAAAACATGACTATATTTTGGGAATAGGATTGTTAGTTATGGCATTGTTTATAGCTAGTTGTTTATGCTATTTCTATGGCATGAATGTTGGCTATGAGGACAGTTGTCTCAATATAACAATGTTCGGCAACAGTACGTCAACAAAACATGTATCACTTGATAAGGCAATGAAAATTATTGATCAAGACTTGGATGTCATACAAAATATCAAGTGTCAGTTCTTTGCCATCACAACTATAGGTTTTATTACAATGGCCTGTTCTATACTATCGTTCCCGCAAGAGGTCCGGGTGTTCCTAAATGAACACAAAAACAAATGGTATTCAACCGGTTCCTACTATTGGGCTAAATCGTTGACCGACTTACCGATGACCGTTACGGTTGCCATTATCTACTCTATTATTATGTATTACGGAACGGGACAGTTGAATGAAATGATCAGATATTGTTATTATACTATAATAACGGTACAAATTTTTATATGAATTATCATATGTTATATCTTATAAACAAAAATTAATATTTTACAAAAATTAATAGATAATACTTATGTTGATAAGCAACTCGTTTGGTAACTTTATAGGCATACTGTTTGCACGAAACTTTCAATTAGCCACCTCTATTGGTGTCGCCTCCTTTTTGGTAGTGTTTTTGTTGGGTGGTTTTGCCGTCAGACTGTCCACAGCTGATCTAGTGCTACGAGGATTTAGTTATGTCTCGTTTATAAAATTTGCATTTAATTGCATAATTATAGTAATCTATGGTATGGATCGCTGCGGTGTTAACTTTGAAGGAAAGATATTGATTTTGGATCAGTTCGACGTCAATGATGATCATCTTTGGACTAACATGTATTGGCTGTTAGGTAATAGTTATAATATTTTTGAATAATAATTATTATTATTAAATATTCACTGTATATTTTTAGGTCATTTAATTATGTGGCGTTTACTTTCATTAACTGCACTGATAGCTAAATCTAACAATTTTAGTTTATTAAATTTTAGAAAATAAAAAATTTTCATATAATTTTGTTATTAACGATTCTATTTTTAATAAACAATTGATCACTATTAGACATAAAACTTAATCATTTCAATAAAAATACAAATATTATTATTTCAATTAAAAATCTACTGTTCCCAGCAATACTACAACTATTAAATGTTTATATAATGTATTTTTTATGGCACAGGTATAGTTTAAAAAAAACACTCATCAATGACTGTCGTATTAGATATACTCATATGAAATAAAATATCATGAATTAACTTAAAACTTGTGCAAAAAATAATAATTATTATTATGATTACATAAGTCCCCTGAAAATGACTAATTAATATGTATTATTTAGACTTTTTGTAATTATAATAACATGTTATTTTTAATAATTTTAGTATAACTTACTATTAAAATCTTTAAAAAATACTGCAAATCACTAATATTAATCAATATTTATAAATTTATATTAATATCTTACTAATATGATATTAAATTATTTTTTGTTATAAGCAATACAAACTATTATTTTTATTTAGTTTTAATTATTTTATTAATAAATATTTTAATATTATATTAAAGTTAACTCTAAAATTATTTAATGTCTAATATTAATCAATATTATTGTTTTTAATTTATTGTCAGTTTGTAATCAATATAATCAAAATGATTTAAATAGATTTATATTTAGTTTAATAGTTTTATTAACTATTTATATATTATATTTATCAATATTATACAGTATTCAGCATCTTTATGCAAACTAAAATCATATAAAGTAAATAAATAAAATCATTTTTTTATTACTTAAGTTAAATGAAAACATTTTTCCCGGGAATTGTTCCAACAAATTGTATTATAAAATATATAAACACATAAATATACAATTATATAAATTATAATAATGAAGACTAGAAATTTATTAATTATTATTTGATTAAAAATATAATAATAATTACATGATATTTAATTTATACAGTAATTAAATTAAACATATATTATATATATATATATATCATAAAATAATGTGTAACTATAAATTTGCAATTAAATATCTTTCTAAATGAAATAAGCAAATTAAAAAATATACAATTTCATAAACAGCAACAACAACAACAAAAAACATGAATTATTATTCAATTAGTTTTATAATAATTTTGTTAATCGCAATTAAAAGGTAGTAAAGATTTTTTAAAATTAATTTTATTATATTTATTATTTAATTTGTTTTGAGAATAATTGAAAGTATTATAAAATTTTTAGATACAATGTCTTACATAAGCCGATTGCATACATAGCTAAGTTGCGATTAATACAAACACAACGACCCTCATTATACTGTAAGTATTGAAACTTTATATTTAAAGTTATATTGATTAATGAATTTAATTTAATTTAACTAAGTTTAATGTATGTTATATAAATTTTCATAAAAAATAACATTTAGCACTTAACATAGTAATACGTGATATAAGTTTTCGATGCCATCACAAACAATATGGATGTATAACAATAGACACCGACACTACTGGCTATCAATTGTGGGACAATCATATAAAATCAAAAATATTGAATACGACAGACCATTACATGTGTTTACACAACTCACTTATTATTGGTATGTCAATGGACCTGGTTCAATTGGACTTAAATAGATCATTATATGATCAGGGAGTTGATATGGGATCAAAAGTTGATATAGATGTGCAAACAGGTTAATACAGTATGCATTATACAGTATATATATATATATAATCTTTTTATTATTTTAGTGAAGATATTGATAATAATATTATAACTACTGTAGTTTTAATTACTTTACAAAAAATAATATATTAATTGATATATTATATAATTGACATGATTATATATTGATTATTAGTAATTTATTTATTTAAAATTTTTAAATCATATTGCAATATAATCATTTATTGTACTTATTTGATAAAAATGTTATTTTAAACAAATCAAATTTATACGTTATTATAGTTAGTTTTTTATGACAATATTTTTAATAATATATTTATTTAATATTAAACATCTGTTAAACACATAAAATAATAAAAAATAGAAAAAATTAAAAATAATATACTAAAAGGTATAAATTATAGGTATTTTGTTATTTAAAATTATAATTATTGTTAAAATTGTTGAATTAAAAAATAGCTACAAATGTTTTTTTTTAAAAAACAAATTTTTATTATAATTATATATCTATTCTATTATTCAGCATTTATTTGTCATAAAATTAATTTTAATAATGTAAAAACAAATAGGAATTTTATATATTTAAAAAAAATTAAAGATATTTATTGATAATTATTAGTAAATAGTAAAAGTATTTAAAAAAAATATTACTTAAAAATAGTGAATATAATAGACTCTATTAAATAGAGTAATTATTTTTAAAAAAAATAAATCTAATTAATTATAAGAAAAAATAGTAATTTAGATGAAAAAATGATTGAAAAATAAAATAATTATTAATTATCCCATTTTAACCACTTTTGCCGCGAATTCTTTGAGCCAACCGTCCAATTGGTTTATCTCTGCATTTAAATGCCTAATACAAGCCCTCAATTGGTTTGCATCGCTCACACCGTTAGTATCGGCAGAAGCAACCAAATTGTGGTCAACACTGGGACCGCCACAGTCCGGGCAACATTGTTCCGGATTAAATGGACAGTCGTCCGATTCGTGTAAAAGCAATTCATCAATTTTAGCTTTATGTTGACATCCAGTGCCGCTGCTGCCGGTGCCGGAATAATACCTACATTTGATAATTAGTTTATCGAGAGCTTTCCAAACATGTTGGCCGACATTATCATCGACTGGTGTAAGCTTATCACACAAATAGCATACAGTATTTTTCTCACATCCAGTGTCACTGACTCCCTGTGCTATCGATTTCGATGCCAATACAGATGTTGTTGAATAGCATGATCGACACGTAACTACTTTACAACAATTCCGAAATACGGGATCAATTAGGACGTGGTCGGCACCAATCGGACAACATATAGTATGACGGGTTTCGGGACTAATCATTTCATCACTACTATTACTACTGATCCGATCCAAAGTGATTCTTCTTGAAGAGAAAGTGGTGGCAGACATATCAGCTGTTATTTTTGAAATACAAAATAATAAATAACTATAGAAAATATTTTTTTTAAAAATTATTTTATAAAATTAATTTTAATTTTATTATTATTTAGAGATATATGTCTTTAATACTCTTTTATAAAATATTTTCGAAAAAATCAATACTATTTATAGTAATATTTTTATTTTTGGTTTGTATTATTAAATTAGATTTAAGTTTAATCGCTTTCCATCTCAAAAATATGTATATATTACCTAACATACATAAGTAATGTCGTTATTATTATACATAAAGTAACGTTATTTTTGGATGGCACAAAGCATTGAAAAAAATTATTTTCATTTAAAAGTTTAAAAATAGATAGTTAAATTTTAATTATGTTGTTTTAAATTATTATTTTTCTTTATCAATAATAAATTATAAACAATTGTTTACGAAATATCAGATCAATATTTGAAAATGAAACTTTTTTATTCAATAAAATCATTGATATCGCCCGATGAAAATTGCAATGATGCTTATCATGAAGCTATTGTATAGTAAAATTTTTAAAAATTGATTAAAATTTTCAAAAGTGCTAATTATTACTTAGAATACAAGTTATATTCAAAGGTCTTAAAACAAAATTCAGACATATTTAGTTTTTAAAATCCAAAACTACTTAGTCAACCTAATATTGATAATTTTATGTTATTTTAATACACTAAAATAAATGTCATTCTATTTGCCGTTTAAAAATAATACTAGTTTTTGTACTTTTGAAACGACATTACTTATGTATGTTAGGTAATATATATTGTTTATATATTTTTTCAATAAACAATAACCAAAATCTATATATTCAGTATATGTGTGGAAATTTTTTTTATTATATATATAACTTTTAATCATTACTGACATTTTATTAATTAAATATATATTTGTATATATATATATATATATATAAATAATATTTTATATATAAAAAATTAGTATTTATATTATTTATTAATAAAATACTATTAAATTAATTTTTCAATTAAATTCAATTTAAATCTATTAATATTATATACTGTATATAAACTTATATATTATGGAATACTTAAACTTTTTATATAAAAGTAAATACAATATATATATATAAAGAAAACTTATTAATTAATAAATTGTATTAAAATTATTTACTTTTTAATCTAAAATCTATTCAATACTATAAATTGCAATTTTTTCCAAATTATTAGTATACAGTATATATATATTAAAGAATATTTTTGTTGCACTAAAATATATACTTTAATATATCAATTATTTGTTAATATAAATTATTAGTATTTTTTGGGTACTACTGTATTAATACAATAATATAGACTATATTATATAGTTATATTACTAATTATATCTATCTATTAGTTATCATAATTATTAATTAATATAAACTAAGTATAAACTACAAGTACTGTATATATATATATACTCTAGATATATATCGTATATATATTAATATACTGTATATTAAAACTCGTTATACCATTTTGTTTGCTAAATGCATCCAATATTTTGATGACACCTATCGGTGCGGCCATCAATTGATGCTCCCGTAGCGGTTTTCTGTCTAATGGACAGGTATTTTGATGCTGTTGTATGCGATGACCACTATTACCACCCATATCATTAGCTACCGGTGCTCTACTACTACTATTTTTGTTTAGCCATTGTCTTATACAATCCAAACAAAACAATTGTCTACAACATGGCGTAAGCACCGGATTTTTGTAGGATACCATTGCCAAACATATAGGACAAGTTAGATCAGCTACCAGTGCCTGACGATAGGCCTGTATGCTGACCGGCTTAGCCGACAACAGTTTAGCAAATAACGACAAACTATTATCCATTTATTTATTATTAAAATAAAGTTTATTTTTTTAATTTTAATCACAAATTTATTTTATTTCTATATAAAATATTGCTATAAATATTGTATAAATTAAAACTAAATAAATTTTTAACAACTAAAATAATAATATTTTATTATTATGTTTTACAGTATATTAAATATATTATTTATATATAAATATATATTTCATTTAGATATTTCATAGATATATATATATATATATAACTCATTTAATCATTTGATCATTTAATAATAATAATTATTATTAAAAAGCTTTAAATATTTTTAAAAATTATAAATCTTAAATTAATATTTTTATAAACTTATTTAATTATAATTTGTTATTAATACAAATAAATTGAATTGCATTTGTATTTGTTTAATATATTATTTATTGATTTTTTTGATAAAGTAAATTATTTAAAATTAGTATACCTTAAGTTTTAAACCTTATCTATGTTTTTATTGATTTATTTACTAATTTATTACAATAGAAAACATTAATTTGTTTTGTTTGTTTGTAAAGTTAATGTAAAATTTAAAAATCAAATTAATCTCTATTATTAATAATATTAGTAATTTAGTTAATATCAATAATATCAATAGTAGTTGATCATTTGATATTATTTATACAGGTGCGCTATTTATTGTTTTTAAAACAATATATATTATATTATATAATATATATAATTTATAATTTTACTTAAGTTCATTAGTAATAAAAGATTATTAATAATAAGTTATTATTTTAGAAATAATTTAGTTTTCTTTTTTATATATAGTAAACTTGTTTTTTAATTTATAAAATATTTATTTAAGTCAATTAATATTAAATAATTAGTACATATATATATATATATACACTGTATATTAGGGATCACTAAATGTCCTCAAGAGGTCCTACTAATTGAACTGTTGCTGAAAATATCGTCAAATGCAACGAAAAACATCTTATATATTGATTTATTTAAATTTTTTTAATCATATTGCAATAAAATCATAATTTGTGTACTTATTTCATCAAATTTTATTTTTTTAAATCAAATTTAAATGTTATAGTTTTTTATGACAATATTTTTAATAATATATTTATTTAATATTAAACAGCTGTTAGGCACAAAAATAAAATAAATTATAAAAATAGCAATAATTAAAAATAATATACTAAAAGGTATAAATTATAGGTATTTTGTTTTGTTTAACTAAAATAATCAAATTGTTTAAATGACAACTACCAATAAATAAATTTGCAAATAAATATTATAAAATAATTTTTTTAAAATCAATTAAATAAAAAATAAAATGTTTATAAAATAAATTTAAATACAAAAATTTAGTATTTCACTAAATTGTGTTGAATAAATAATGCTTAATATATTTAGATAATTAATTTTATTAAATTAAAATAAGTAAGCATAACATTATTATTGAAAATATGTCATTTAAAAATGATTTAGCAATTGCTTGGATTGACCTAAGCTATGGTAAAAAAGACTGGTTTAGTAAACATTCAAAAGTTATATTAAACTCATTGAACGGACGTATCAATTATCATACATTGACGGCACTGATGGGTCCGTCAGGTGCGGGAAAGTCGACACTATTGAAGTGTATTAATATGCGTCAAACTTCGGGTATAACATGCGATTCAAAAATATATGTTAATCAATGTACAGATTTTAAGACTTGTTTTATAATGCAATCATCTGATGAGCACTTGTGGTTGGGTTTGACTGTAAGGTAATGTTTGTTTAACAATACTTTTTTTAATTATATTCAATTTAATCAATTAATAAAAAACTTAAATATTTATATATAAATTAAATAAATAGAGAATCGCTGTTATTTGCATCAAAAATTATATAACAATACTTATATAATTATATTCAATTTAATCCATTGATAATATTTAACTATAAATAGAGAATCGTTGTTATTTGCATCAAAAATCAAGAACTATAAGATCAAGTATTGGGAGGAAAGTTATGATAATATGAGAATTGATTTTATCGATGAAATTAATGTATACCAGAGCTCTAAGTTTCGAGATGTTGAATGTCAAACGGATTACTATTTGGATAGAGATAAACATATTATTGATCACAATCTAAATGTTAACAAAATTCTTGGGGAACTCCTAATGGAAGACTGTGCCGACTAGTGTTGGCAAAAAAGAGAAATTTATAAAATAATAGAGAAATTTCTAGAAAGTCTCAAAAAGAAATTTCTATCTATGGGATCCCCATGTTAATTTTGTTTTCTGGATATATGTTATTATGTAACAATACATTGGTTTTACAAGTAATAATTAAATATTAATATTTTTATTATTAATTAAAATAAAAATTAATTTATTTAATTATCTTAAATTTTTATATATATAATAAAATGATTATTAAAATTTTAGAAAACTGATTATTATTAAATAATTATAATTATTTTACATATAGGTATCGCATTTTGTATAGTAGTGTATAGTGTAATGTTATATGAATAGTAGTATTGTCTCATTATTTATATATTATTTCAATAGCTATAGATATGGGGATCCCATAGTATAACAATAAAGTTAAATTTCTATAGAAATTTATTCCTGAGAAATTTTCTAGAAACTTTCTCAGTGAAATTTATTAGAAACTTTCTATTTGCCCATCTCTAGTGCCGACACACTTGTCTACTCGTGCAGTGGCGGCGAACAGAAACGACTGTCCATAGGCTTGGAGTTGGTTCAGCAAAGTAAGCCTAATCTGATGTGTATCGATGAACCAACCAGTGGTTTGGACAGTAATGCATCGAAACTGGTATAGTAGCTGAGGTAATACACATTTTATTGTATTTTTATACTTTATTATTGTTACAGGTAATACAATGTATAAAGCATCTATCAGATCGGCACCGGATGGCAATTGTTACATCTATACATCAGCCAAACTCATTGTTGCTCTACATGTATGACCAATTGTATGTACTGTCCAAAGGTGGTCACTGTGTGTTTACCGGACCACCCAATCAACTAAGAAAACATTTACTTGATTGCGATATTAGCTGTCCTCAGGATGTCTTACCAATTGAACTATTGCTAGAATTATCATCAAATTTACCGAAAAACTTAAATAGTATTGATATTACAGATAATACTAATAAAAATAAAGTTTGTAAACATTATTTCTTACTATATTATTAGTACTTATTTAATATTAATAATTGTTTTTTACTTTTATGCACATTATTTGATAAGACTGTCTTTGAAATCCGAAAACTGTTGGATAAGACAGAGATATCATCGCAAGAAATCATAGAATTTTGTCGACTAAACGACAAACTTGTGCCCAAAGACAACAACAAAGTGATAGACAATCAAAGCGTCTATTTTAGCTTTTATCACATTTATTATCTATTGTTTCGAGGATTTACTTGTTTTGTATGTATTATACAATATATATTCAAATGAAAAGTTAACATCACTTTCCTAATAATAGCTTTAGTTATTAAAAAAATAATACAATTATTTGTTTATTCATTTTTATTTTCAGATCAGACTCGACTATATTATAGGTCTGGGATTGTTTGTGTTGTCATTGTTTATGTCATTTTGTTTATGCTATTTATATGGCATGAATGTGGGCAATGAACAGTTGTCTTAATGTAACAATGACCACAACAAACAGTACATCCATGAAACAGGTATCACTTGAACAGGCAATGAAAATCATCGATCAAAACTCGGATGTCGTCCAAAACTCCAAGTGTTTGTTCTTTTCAGTAGTCATTATCGGTTTCCTAACAATGTCCTGTTCAGTACTATCATTCCCACATGAGGTCCGGGTGTTTTTAAATGAACACAAAAACAAATGGTATTCAACCGGTTCCTACTATTGGGCCAAATCGTTGACTGACTTACCGATGATCGTTACGGTTGCCATTATCTACTCTACTATTATGTATTACGGAACGGGACAGTTAAATGAAATGTTCAGATATTATTATTTTACTATAATTATGGTATTATAAAAGTAGTTAAAAAGCCTCATCATAGGTTTACAATCAATATATATATATATATATATATATATATATATATTTCTATTATTAGATTGTATTAGTATTAATTTGCAACTCGTTTGGCAATCTTATTGGTATACTGTTTGTCCAAAACTATCAAATGGCAACCACAATGGCCGTAGCCTTATTTTTGATAGTATTTTTGTTGGGCGGGCTTGCAGTTAGACTGGCCACACTTGATATGGTTTTTCGGTCAATCAGTAATCTATCGTTTATAAGATTTGCATTTGAGTCCACAATGATAATCATCTATGGTATGGATCGCTGCGATGTTAACTTTGAGGGAAAGATATTGATTTTGGATCAGTTTGAAATCAATGATAATAAGATCTGGACAAATATGTATTGGCTTATAGGTATAGATACAAATAAAAATTCATTACAATTATTTTTATACTTACGATTCAATATTATTAATATTTAAATTTGCAATATTTTTAGGTCATTTAATTATGTGGCGTTTACTTTCATTAATTGCACTAATAGTTAGAGCTAAATAATTGTTTGAAGATAATTATGCTGTTATTATTAATATTTTTTTGAATATTAAAATAAATACTAATTTTACTATATTATAAAATTAGTGTGTGTGTGTGTGTTTAAAAAAAATAAAAAATACAAATTTATATTTGTTAATTATTTATTAAGATTTTTAAAAGTTGATGTCACACATTATTATAAAAATTGTAAGTTTAACATTTGTTTTACAATAATTGTTAAGTGATGAAAAAGTTAGTTAAACTTAAAATTTTTACAAATCAAATAATGTTTTTGTTATTATTATGTTTTGATAATATGAGCTTAAGTTCATAAATCGTATTGTATTAATACAGTATTAGTAACACATTTGTTTTATATTAAAGATTTGTGTGCAAATATTATGATATATTATAAAAATTATGTTTTAATCTTATAGTTAATATATGATATTCAATCATAATAACAATTTTTGCAGATTTAAAATATCTTTAAATCATTGTTATAAATGTTTAGCTTTTTTTTATTTATGACAATATTTTTATAAATTTTGATTTTTAACATCTGTAATGAATAATGTATACTATTATAATATACTGTATATAGATAATATGCATGCATAATATAAATTTTAAAATTAAAAAAAAATTATACCATTTACTATAAATTATAATATAAACAATATTTTTGTATTTTGTGAAACTAAAATAATCAAATTGTTTGATGACAAATACCAAGAAATAAATCTGCAAATAAAATTTGTAAAATACAGTTTTGAAAAATTCATATAAATAAATATAAATTTTTATAATAATAGATTATATCCAAATACATATATGAAAATTTTTATTATTTTAATATACTTTTTAATTGAAATCAAATTTGAAAATATTAATACTGTGTAGAATAAAAAATGATTATTATGAATAATTAATTTATTTTATTAGTAAAATAATAAAAATTATGTTTGAAAATATGTCATTTAAAAATGATTTAGCAATTGCTTGGATTGACCTAAGCTATGGTAAGAAAGACTGGTTTAGTAAACATTCAAAAGTTATATTAAACTCTTTGAACGGACGTATCAATTATCATACATTGACGGCACTGATGGGTCCGTCAGGTGCGGGAAAGTCGACACTATTGAAGTGTATTAATATGCGTCAAACATCGGGTATAACATGCGATTCAAAAATATATGTTAATCAATGTACGGATTTTAAGACTTGTTTTATAATGCAATCATCTGATGAACACTTGTGGTTGGGTTTGACTGTAAGGTAATGTTTGTTTAACAATACTTTTTTAATTATATTCAATTTAATTAATTGATAAAAAACTTAAATATTTATATATAAATTAAATAAATAGAGAATCGCTGTTATTTGCATCAAAAATCAAGAACTATAAGATCAAGTATTGGGAGGAAAGTTATAATATGAGCACAGATTTTATTTGTGATAGTAGTGAATACCAGAGCTCTAAGTTTCGAGATATTGAATGCCAAACGGATGACTATTGGGATAGAGATAAACATATTGATCACAATCTAAATGTTAACAAAATTATTGGGGAACTCCTACTGGAAGACTGTGCCGACACACTTGTCCTCTCGTGCAGTGGCGGCGAACAGAAACGACTGACCATAGGCTTGGAGTTGGTTCAGCAAAGTAAGCCTAATCTGATGTGTATTGATGAGCCTACCACTGGTTTAGACAGTAATACATCAGAAATGGTATGAATTTAATTAGATTATACTTATACGGTATAAAAGTTTATTAACTAATTGTATTAATATACTGTTTTTACAGATAATCCAATGCTTGAAACAGCTATCAGTGCGGCACCGGATGGCAATCGTTACATCCATACATCAGCCAAACTCAATCATACTATCAATGTTTGATCAGTTATATGTGTTGGCCAAAGGTGGCTACTGTGTCTATATGGGTCAGCCCAGTCATCTGCGTTCACATTTGTCACTTTGCAACATCAAGTGCACTGACGATGTGTTGCCCATTGAATTGTTGCTGAAAATTGCGGCCTTAAACGGTAACGACACCAAACGGTCGGCCGTAAAAAATGGTAATACTTCAGGAGGACGACGTATTTCACGAATAGACCAATTGGCAACTATTGCCGACAAACAACGTGTCGACATTTTGAATGAATGTATAGAAAAGTGTCAGATAGTGACCAACACTGGAATAGGTTTACGAAAACAGTACTTCAATTTAAGACATTTTTATTATCTCACTTTAAGAACATTACATTGTTTTGTAAGTCTCTGATCTAATCTATTGAATATTAATAACTGTTTATTTTATTTTTGTTGTATAAAATCCTAATATTCAGTACCATCACGATTGGCTCATAAGTCTATTAATGTTTGTATTTCTAATATTTATATCACTATTTATGGTCTATCTGTTCGGTCGGGTCGGCGCCGATGACGGCTGTCTGGATGTTAGCCAACAAATAGACACATTGCTAGCAATCAATATATCGGTCATACCGTTGAAAGAAGCCAAACGTTTTATGACCGACCATTCAATGATTATGCAAAATGTCAAACTACTATATTTCATATTAATCTGTATGGCCTTTATATCTATCTCCTGTTCCGTACTATACTTTCCGCGTGATGTACGCGTATTTATCAACGAACACCGTAATCGTTGGTATTCGGCCGGTGTTTACTACTGGTCCCGATTAGTCATAGACACACCTATACTGATTGCTATGGCTGTCGCTTACTCTACAGTTATATTTTATACGACCGGACAGTTGTACGAGTGGTATCGTTACGAGTATTTTACAATTACCCTGGTTAGTAATATCTTATTTATTTATAATATTATATATTGATATATATATTTATTGTTAATAACCCAGGTAGCCTGTATGATAATAACGCACAACTGTGGTATGTTTATTGGTACAGTATTTTCCCATAATTTTCAATTGGCCAGTACGGCCGCCATAACTCTGCTAATCATGTGTTTTCTGTTGGGCGGCTTTCCCGTCAAACTGTCCACTCTTGACGTCGTAATGAAATGGTTAAGTCATCTGTCGTTTATTAGGCATACCTTTGAATGTCTACTATTGACGACCTATGGGTTCAACCGATGCCATGATAGTCAACTGTCCGTCATATTGAATGAGTTTAATTTAAACGATGATATGTTTTTGTGTAATATTCAATGGATAATAGGTATTTATATCAGATTTAAATATTCAATATATAAAATATTTTAAGTAATCAAAAAATTTATTAACTTTTCTATTTATTCAAAAATATACTAGGTCATCTATGTTTTTGGCCTATGATGGCATTATTTGCATTGATTATTAAAGATAGATAAATAATTGTTTTCAATTAGTATTATAATATGTAAAATTATTTATTAATAGTAAATAATTAAAATTTTAAGAAATTTATTAGTTTATTAAATCAACTTATAGTAAATTGATAGAATTAATTGATTGAATTAATAGAATTGAATAAATACAGTAATAAATATAACATTAATTAATAAATATGAAATAATAAATAATATAAGATTAAATAAATTTAGTTATTTCATCAACAAATCAAAAGTATTTAATTTATACAGTAACTCACAATTAGCTGTATTTATATGATACTGTATTACTAAAAATAAATAACATATAAAATGATTAATAAAAAACTAATAAACTATAACTGGCTAACAATGACAGTAAGATAAGCACCAAATTAGCAAATATCATGACAGTAGCCGAGTCTTTAGGTGGTGTGGGTTGTGGTATCGGTATTGGACAGTGGGTGCGATCTTTTTGAATGTGATAATCTATACAATAGACATTGTTAGCTTCATCCCTGACCTTATTAACTGTAGTTTCAATTTCATTAATAGTACATTGTGGCTGATTCTACACACAATTGAAAAAAGTTTTATTGCAATTATATAATTGTAGTTAAATAATTAATATTTTGTATTGTACATAAATTTTAATTAATAAAATATTTAATAAAAATTTATTTATTAAATCTAATTAAATCTAAACACTGAATAATTAAATTAATTAAAAATCTATATATTTAAAAAAATCTAAAATATAAACAATAATAATTTTTACAATCTATTGATAAAAAATATTTAAAAAATAATTAAAACTAATACCTTAGCAGCAATCAGTATGCAATCAAGCAAAATGCCCATGGCACAACATTGAAATTCAATATTATGTTTATATGTAGCTAGATCATTTTTGTCCACTTTAACAAAAAAACAATTAGTGGTTTCAGTTATAACCAAATTACAACAATAATCTAATTGACAATCTTCTATTGGATCACCGATATTGTTGTTATTATTGACGCCATATTTTACATTGATAATTTTCGAAGCCAGCTTTGCCCTGGTTATATTAATGAGATTGTAATTGTATTGTTGTTGTTGACAAAGTGATGGACCAAACAATATAAATATAAATAATAGACTTGATAACATAACAAATTTGTCCATATTAACAATAGTATAATATAAATTTCTAACTAAATCAAATTAACTATAATATATTTAATATGCTTTCAACTGAATAATTAATATACAATTTTATTTTATTATTTAATTAAATATCTTGTTTATTTCCAGGTAACAATTGATTCATTTAAAAAACAATGCATTATCTGATTTTATATCTTATTAACCATAAATAACTGTTTAGTGATGTATTAATCACATTATGTAAATTATATGTATGTAATATTAACTTAATAAATAATTTAAATCTCAATTTAAGCAATAACTGTCTTATTATATTAATATAATATAATTATTATAATTATTTATATGTAAAGTTACAAAAATTATATTTGATAATAGTTGAAGTTTAGAATTATTATAAATATGATAAGTAATTATTTAGTCAATAAATGTTTATAAATATCAATATAATATATTATGTTTTAAAGACACTTAAATTAAAAGTAATTATTTCTTAAAAATTTCAACACATAATTTACATATTAAATAAATTATTATTATTTTTAGATAAATATTCAATTTTATTTTTATAATTTTTATATTTATTTTGTAGGTATTTCACATTTATGTTGTCCACTAATGATGGGATTATCTTTACACTGACCCTTATTGTAGTCATGGGTTTCAGCTTCAATGTTAAGTCTGAATCTATCATAATCTGTACCACATTTTAGCTATAAATTTATTTAAAAAAAAACATTTAATAATCATTTTCTTTTATTTAAAAAAAATCAGACTAAATACTAAACAAACAAAAATATATAAAGTTGTTAGAAATTATTTAGAAATTAACTATTTAAAAAAATATATTATAATAATATAACAAAAATTACCTTGCCACTATCAATAGCACAATCCAACATATTACCAATTACACAACACATGAATTTGTTATTATAATAATATTTGGTGATTGTCTCTCTATCAACCAATTTATTAACACAAACGTCAATATCGGTGATTAACATTTTGCAACAAACGTCCTTTTTGCATGACTCGGTAAAATTATCAAATTGAACAACCGTACCAACAATACCGTTACCGTTTAGTTGGCCAACAATGCGACCAATTACGGTACATAAGACAACAATTTCTATAAAATATACAATGTTTTGTGTCATTGTTAGATAATAATAATAATATATTTCAATACTTTCAATGATACTTTAAATATAATTTGCTTATATTATAATTATTTGTAATTTTTATAGTTTACTAAAACTAACTCTATTTATATTAAAAAACATTATTACGAAATTCTATAATAATTGCGCCTGGATAATTATTAATATTTATAATACTAAAGTACTATAAACACTTGAATATTTTTTTACACAATATTAGCTATTTTTAAGATTATAATAATATAATTATAATAATTAACATACATAATAATTATTATAATATATCATTTTTTATCATAATAAGATTTTTTAAAAGTAATAGATTGTGTCATTAAAACTCAATTTGATATAATTTACAGAATTAAAGAAAATATAAAAATAGATAAATAAATATATTTATCAATATTAATTAAATATGAATATACAGTACTTGTGATATTTAGCAATAATAATATATCATAACTAGTAATTACTAGATTTGATAATTAAAGTACAGTACTTATTATATATAATATTTTTTTAATTTATAAATCTAATTAAATATGTGTAAATTATAATTAGTTAATCACTATAAAAAATATTTTGTAAAGTAAACTATTAATAAATAATAATATTTATAATAATAATTTTAGACTATTACAGATTATTATAAATTAGATTATTAGACAATAAATAATAAAAACAAATTTTTTTTTTTGGAAAATAACTTTTATTTAACAATTACAGTACAGTATATTAATGTTGATATACAAGTAATCCCTAAATTGATTACAATTATGATATAACATTAACCGACACATTTAGTACTACCAGTTTTAACGGGAAACTCTTTACATTCATTTTTGTTGAGGACATCCTTATCGGTTTCGACCACTTTTTTGAATCTATCGTAATCGGTGCCACATTTTTCCTATTAATTTTTATAAAATTCAAAAAAAAATAATAAACATGGTCAATGATCAGTATAAATTTATTTGTATAATTTTTTCAATATATATATATAATAATGTTACCTTGCCAATATCTTCGGCACAATCAAATTCTACGCCCAGCAAACAGCATAAAAATTTTCGGCTATCTTTATATTTTTCAATATCATCCTGGCTAATTTTTTTGAAAACACATTTAACAATGTCATCGATAACTTTTTTGCAGCAAGCATCATGGTCACAATCCTCAGTAGTATTGCCAACCAATGATTTCATTGATTGATGTCTACCGAGCAAACTGGGAACACTATTTACCCGGTATAGGGCAACAGTGTAACCTAATACAGTACATACTAAAAGTGTAATATATAAAATTGAGTTTGTCATTTTTGTTATAAAATATAATTATTTTGCTTTAATTATTACAATACCAAACTAATAATGATATTATATTATTTTAGATACAAGTTTTTATATAAACAAAGTATTAACCATTTTTATGGGTGGAATTAACTAGGACAATTTTATTAAAAAAAAGTAAACACTTGTAAGTATTGATATTTTAATTATAGATAAATAATGCTACTTTATAAAGTATAATGTACAATTATTATATAATAATAATGTTAATTATGTCATAGGATAGATACTAGCCAATAATTTAGCAATGCTTAAGTTTATCACAAATAGAAATTGTCTAATAATAAGATAATTTTAATTAAAATTAATCTTCAAAATTGACTAATTGTTAATAAATTGATAATTTTATTTGAAAAAATTATCTTTAAACTTATGTACAAAATATTCTAAGTTAAACTTATTAATTAAATGAATTAGTTGTAATAATATTAATTTTCTAAACTACTTTAATAAATCATTTATTTTTAATTTTATTAATTTTTATTTAAGATTTATTTGATTATTTCTTTTTCTTATTTAGTTTGATTAAAATACTAGAAGTATCTTATTACTAGTAATCATTATAAAATTATATAAAAATTATAAAAATTAAATTAAATAAATTAAATAAATATTAGAGAAATTAAACAGTTGTTTAATATTGTAATGATAACATGGTTAAGCAATTAATTAATTTTTAAACAAAATATAATTATTTAAAGAAAAATACAAGGTGATTTATCTTATTTATAAATTAATTATTAGTCAATAAAAGTACAGTAGCTGTAAATCATTAATATAGTTAAAATTATAAAACTATAAAAAATATTATTTAGTGAATTGATTAGTACTGGTATATTTTTAAAATTTTTAATTTGTTCACTAAAAAATTAATTTTTATTCATTTATTATTGAGAAAAATTAAAATGCTATATACTGTAAATACTTTAAAATTTAAATTATTAAAAAATAGATTTTATACTGTATGTAAAAATAATAAATGAAAAAATTCAATTAATTAAAATTTTATTATGCATTAGTATTACAATTAAAAAAAAGTATAAAAATACTTTTAACATTATTTTGGATTTAATATTATATAATCATTTAAATATCGCAATGTGTTACACCTTGTTTAATTTTATAATCTTGACATTCTTTTTCATTTAATAAATCTTTATCATGGTCAATTTTAGTTAACAATATATCACGATCTTTAGTTTCACATTTACTCTAAAAAATAAATAATTTTTGCAAAAATACATATAGATTATAATATATATATATGAATATATATACTCGTATAAGTAGAGTATATAATTATTGAATAACAAAAATGATTACCTTGGCAATTGAGTTGGCGCAATCAAATTCAATGCCAATAATACAGCAGAAAAATTTAGGCTCAAAAAAATGTTTAGCAATTGTATCTGGGTCCTCTTTATCAAAAACACATTGAACAATATCATCGATAATCTTTAAGCAGCAAGCATCTTTTTTACATTCCTCAGTAGCATTGCCATCTTGTGTGCCAATTAATTGTTGATAATTATTGATACCAATTATGCCGCCAAATGTATGACCTAAACATACAGTACATAGAAATACAGTTACAATCAAATATGTATTCATATTTTGTTTTAAAAATTTGAAATTTAATTAACAGTTAATTCAGTTTCTGTTATGTTTTTTTGAGCATAATTTTTTTGCGTTTATATACACAAAATTAATCTCTATTTAACAAAAAATTACTCATTGTAATAAATCTAGTATTGCAATTATTTGTGTAAATTTATTGATTATTGATGATAATTATACTAAACAATGAAAAACTATTATCAGTTTTTAAACTTTATTACTTTGCAAATAATTAGATAAAAACTAACCTGAAAGTTTTTAAATATACACAATGTACTTATAGTTTTATTTAAGATAAATAATGTGATGAGTAAATAAAAAAATTTCTAAAAAATTTTCTCAAGAATAATTTTCAATTTTAATGTTAATTATTTTCTACTTTATTTTTATTAATTTTATATTACATTTTGAAAAATAGTTCCATTAAATATTGTATTAATATAATAAAAAACTTGATGAATACTAATACTAATTATATATTTATAATAAAATTAATATAGTTTATTTTTTTATTTTTGTTGAATTTTTACTGATTTTGAACATAAACTATTTTTAGCTATAAAATAATTATTAGTAATTATTATTATTATTATATTTATTTATAACAATAACTAAATTTTGTATATTTTTATATTAAGTATTAAAAATGACAAATATATTTGAAACAACATTAAAATGTAATTCCAATAATAATAATAACTTATAAGAGAAACTTTCTAGAAATTTTATTCTTCAACCAACTTTAAATAATACATGTGTATTATTATTATTTTATGTAATCGACAATATCTATGAATCATTAAAATATATTACTTTATTTTTATATAAATTCTCTATTATGATAACATGACTAAAATATTTAAGAATAATGAGATAACATTTATTAAGCAAACAAACAAAACAAAAGTTATTATTTAAAATGTTTTTTTTTTAATAAATAAATATTTTACTTTTTAACATACACTAAATAAATTATATAAACAAAATTTAATCAAATTAAATCCTAATCAATTACTTATTTGTCTTATTAACATACTTTTATCAGTTATCGCTATATATAAAAAGTATATATATTTATATACTCTAAAATAAATTTTTAAAAAACAGTTATAAAACATTGACAATTTCAAAATCAATTAATAAATTTTAATATTATTTTGCTCTATAATAATTAAAAGTAATTTATAAATAAAAATTTTAATAATATAAATTATATATTAATTAATTAGACATAATGTTTAATTCAAAAAAAAAAAAAAAATAAAAATAAATAAATTATTCAACAAATAGTTCATTCATAATTTATTAGCTTAATTATTTAAAAAAACAAATTATTTTTTAGTTACAATCATTAGTTACTAATAAATACAATATTATTGTTATATAAATATTTAAATAACAATATATTTGTTGTAAATTATGTTAAACAATGTGTTCTACCGGTTATAATATGGTATTGTTCGCAACCATTAAGATTGAGATCATCTCTAGTTTGGTCGTTAAGAGTCTTCAAAATTTCGTAATCTTTAGTTTGACATTTGTCCTAAAAAATTATTATTTTACAAAAATTATTTATCACATTATATAAATATATATAAATTTTTATATTATTATCTAGATCATTTCAATTACTACCTTGGCTACTGCTGTCGAACAATCCAATCTAATGCCAATAAAACAACACATAAATTTATTTTCATCCTTATGTTTATCAATTGTTTCTTTGTCTACTTTGGCATTAATACAATTGGCGACATCATTGGTGATCAACTTTTTACATTCATCAGCACTGTTACCTCGTTTGCCAGTTAACTGCTGATCATTGATACCGAATAAGCCGAGTGTATGACCTAAGCATACGGTACATAAAAATACAGTTAAAATCAAATAATTATTCATATTTTTGTTTAGTATTGAAATTTTTCTAGACTGTTAAATTGTTTTTGATTGATGTGAACATAAAGTTTGTGAATTTATATACAAAATTAAATCGCAAAAAATAAATCAATTATCATAAAATATAGTATTGCAAAATTATTACACAATTTTTAAAATAAACTGAATTGAATTAAAATTAATTGATTAATTACATAAATAATTAGAAATTCTGTAATTAAAATAAATAGATATTTAAATAAGTACAATCAGTTTATTGAGATAAACAAATAACCTAAAAGTTTTTAATATAATATTATTTATGATAAATGTAAGATGATAAAAGGTAAATTATTTTCAAACTAAATTTAATTGAAATTAGTTAAGTAACTTTACTAAAAAATAATAACAATCATTATAATAAATAAAAATAAATCAAATAAGTACATTCAGATTATATATATATTAATTTTTATAATATTTACTACCATTTATATAGTATTATCAATATATGGTGTAATAGTCTTAGAGATTATTAAAATTATATTTAAGTTTTTCTAAGAAATTTTTCTAATATTATATTATTTGGTCAACTTTTGTTAGTAGTATTAACTTATTGTCAATATTAATATTTTATGTAATTAATAATAAGTATGATTTATGAAATTATTTTAAAAATCTTTTGCAGTACTTTAATTACATATTATTATTAATATATTTTTAAAAGTTAATAAAACTTAAGATTATTAAGATATTGTTTCTATAATTTAGAATCTAATGTTATAAAGTAAATAAATTCAATTGAGTATTTTAACATTTTTAAAACATATTTTTTAATAAAAATATATTTTAGAAAATTTAAATTTTGTCTATTTGTCAAATAGTTTAAACTATTTTTATTTATTATATGTATGGTCAATATTATGTATACCGTTATCTATTTATTAATTACAAATGTTGTGATAATATTAGTAATTAATTGTTGAAAGTTAGTTAAAAAAAGTATTTTATTGTTTAATTTAACAATTTTCATATTAAAGAAAACTTATTATTATTATTTGAATTTACAGTATTATGTTCATAATATAGAATATAGAAAATATATAATAGAATAATGTAATACATTATAATGTACTTTAAATTCATTGATTATTGAAAAATATTTGTTCATATTAAAATCAATATAATAGTATAGAGCGTTCATATTATAGAGATTTATCTGTATATATTTATATACTCTAAAATAAATTTTTAAAAAACAGTTATAAAACATTGACAATTTAAAAATCAATTAATAAATTTTAATATTATTTTGCTCTATAATAATTAAAAGTAATTTATAAATTAAAATTTTAATAATATAAATTATATATTAATTAATTAGACATAATGTTTAATTCAAAAAAAAAAAAAATAAATAAATAAATTATTCAACAAATAGTTCATTCATAATTTATTAACTTAATTATTTAAAAAAACAAATTATTTTTTTAGTTACAATCATTAGTTACTAATAAATACAATATTATTGTTATATAAATATTTAAATAACAATATATTTGTTGTAAATTATGTTAAACAATGTGTTCTACCGGTTATAATATGGTATTTTTCGCAACCATTAAGATTGAGATCATCTCTAGTTTGGTCGTTAAGAGTCTTCAAAATTTCGTAATCTTTAGTTTGACATTTGTCCTAAAAAAAAAATTATTATTTTACAAAAATTATTATATATATTATATAAATATATATAAATTTTTATATTATTATCTAGATCATTTCAATTACTACCTTGGCTACTGCTGTCGAACAATCCAATCTAATGCCAATAAAACAACACATAAATTTATTTTCATCCTTATGTTTATCAATTGTTTTTTTGTCTACTTTGGCATTAATACAATTGGCGACATCATTGGTGATCAACTTTTTACATTCATCAGCACTGTTACCTCGTTTGCCAGTTAACTGCTGATCATTGATACCGAATAAGCCGAGTGTATGACCTAAGCATACGGTACATAAAAATACAGTTAAAATCAAATAATTATTCATATTTTTGTTTAGTATTGAAATTTTTCTAGACTGTTAAATTGTTTTTGATTGATGTGAACATAAAGTTTGTGAATTTATATACAAAATTAAATCGCAAAAAATAAATCAATTATCATAAAATATAGTATTGCAAAATTATTACACAATTTTTAAAATAAACTGAATTGAATTAAAATTAATTGATTAATTACATAAATAATTAGAAATTCTGTAATTAAAATAAATAGATATTTAAATAAGTACAATCAGTTTATTGAGATAAACAAATAACCTAAAAGTTTTTAATATAATATTATTTATGATAAATGTAAGATGATAAAAGGTAAATTATTTTCAAACTAAATTTAATTGAAATTAGTTAAGTAACTTTACTAAAAAATAATAACAATCATTATAATAAATAAAAATAAATCAAATAAGTACATTCAGATTATATATATATTAATTTTTATAATATTTACTACCATTTATATAGTATTATCAATATATGGTGTAATAGTCTTAGAGATTATTAAAATTATATTTAAGTTTTTCTAAGAAATTTTTCTAATATTATATTATTTGGTCAACTTTTGTTAGTAGTATTAACTTATTGTCAATATTAATATTTTATGTAATTAATAATAAGTATGATTTATGAAATTATTTTAAAAATCTTTTGCAGTACTTTAATTACATATTATTATTAATATATTTTTAAAAGTTAATAAAACTTAAGATTATTAAGATATTGTTTCTATAATTTAGAATCTAATGTTATAAAGTAAATAAATTCAATTGAGTATTTTAACATTTTTAAAACATATTTTTTAATAAAAATATATTCTAGAAAATTCTAAATTTTGTCTATTTGTCAAATAGTTTAAACTATTTTTATTTATTATATGTACTGGTCAATATTATGTATACCGTTATCTATTTATTAATTACAAATGTTGTGATAATATTAGTAATTAATTGTTGAAAGTTAGTTAAAAAAAAGTATTTTATTGTTTAATTTAATCAATTTGATGACTTAGTACCTTATGATAATTAATTAAATAATTACAGTATTATGCAATAAAAGTAAATCACTAACAAAATATATAATAGATTAATAATAAAAAAAATTATTAAACTTTAAACTTTTGAAAATTGATTATTGAAATAATATATTTATTGCTAAATTTAAAAATCAATATAATAATACTTGTAGTTTTCAGTATTTTTTGAGTATTTATCTATTATATTTAATTATAGACTTAAATTAAATAAATTTAATTCAATTTTGTAAAAATAACACATATATACTGTATCATACAGTATTTTTAATGGCATTAAAAATTTTCTAATTATTTAAAATTATAATACTTTAGCTAAATACTTAACTTTATAATTTAATAACTTATATTAATATATTCTTAAAAATTTAGTTTAATAAAAAGATTGTTTAAATTTATAATTTGTTAATTTTATTATTATTTAATAATACAAAAAAAGTATTATGGTTACATTTTTAAAAAATATTGTGATATAATAACAAATACAGTAGTTATAATATTTATTATTGTATCAAAATTTATAATTTTTTTGTGGATAATATTACTAAAGTTATAGTTTTTAAAAAAATATCAATAAATCATTTATGTTTCGCATTTTGTAACACCGGTTTTAATATGATGTTCTTTACATTCACTTTGATCCAGTAATTTAGTAACTTGGTCAATTTCACCTTTCAATTTATCCGCATCTTTTTGATCACATTTAGTCTAAAAAATATAAATCGTTAAAATTAGATACATTTAAAATTTCAATATATTATATATATATATATAAATTTTAATACTAATTTAATTAAATTTAATTAAATTATCAAAATAATAATAATAATAAATTACTACTACTACTAACCTTAGCAAGTGAGTTGACACAATCAAATTCAATACCCATAAGACAGCAAATAAATTTTGATTCCTTAATATGTTTTTCAATTGTCGATTTATCCTCTTTATCGTAAACACATTTGTAGACATCATCGATAATCTTTAAGCAGCAAGCATCTTTTTTACAATCATCGGTAGTGTTGCCAACTTTTGAATCAAATAATTGGTGTCCATTGCTAACGAATAGCCCGAGTGTGTGACCAAATACGGCACATAGAAATACAGCTGCAATTAAATAAATTTTCATTTTATTTTCGTGTTGTTGTTATTATTGAACTTTAATTTAATTAAAAGTTTAATTTACTTTTAATGTTATAATAATAAATTGTTTTTACTTTCTATTTATATACCAAAAAAATAATCTAAAAATATTCTATCATTATTATTAAGTTATAATTAAGATAAACTAAGTAGTTTCAAATAAATAAATTGATATTTAACCAATCAAATAATAACTGATTAATATAAAATTAATTGGGACAACTAAATTAAAAATAAAATAATAATAATATAATAAACCGAAACACTTGACAAATTAAACAGTTATCTACAGTTTATATAATAATATATTATACGTTAGTTATTAAATGGATAATCAAAATGTTTTTAGAAACCGCTTTTGGTTTCGGTTTTTATGAACCAAACCGCTTATTAGTTCTTTACTCTACTAATAGTTACTATATATGATAATTATTTTTAAAAAAATAAAATAGCTATTAATTAGAAAAATATAAGAGTTTGAAGTTATTGATAGATTAGTACTATTTGATAATTATTAAACAATTATTATGCAATTAAGTACATTTAGGCTACTAAAGAGGCGTTACATATATATTTGTCACTAGTTTTTAAAAAATAATTTTAGAACAGAAAAAGATAGATTTATTATATTAAAAGCTTATTATACATTATTCTAAGCGTGATATTTTGAATACAATTTTTTTAAAAATTTGATCACATGATATACATAATATACATAATAAATAAACTATACTACAAATCAAACTACAGATGACTAAATATTGATGACTAAACAAAATTTGTAGCCAAACAATATAAGTTTAATATAATAGAAAAATTATTAAAATTGTATTGGTACTTTTATTTTTATGGCTTTTTAAATAGTAAAAAATAAAATTGACATTATTTATAAATATTAGACAGATATTAGATGAAGTATATCTCTTTTCGTTCAAAAATTATATCAAAAACCACCAGGGACAAATATATGTAAAGCCTTTTTAAATATAATGTCAAAATATTTTATAATATACTATGATTATCAATATTATGTTTTACGTTATCAATATACTTACAGGTATTACAATTTTTATAGTAATATTAGTGAGTAATTGTTAAATATTATTTTAAATAAATAATGCAAAAAAAATAATTTTATTTTATTGATTGCTTTAATCAATATAATTATTACCAGATTCATTTATTATTAAAAAATTATTAAGCTAAAAATGATGAATAATAAAATATATATTTATAATGAATAAAAAATTTATTAAATCTATTACTATAAAAACTGTTTATAAAACTATTAAAATAATTCTTAAAAATAATTTAATGTTTGTTTATAAATTTTTAGATCAAATATCAATTATAGACCTAAATGAAAGCAACAAATACTTTTTTAAAACAAAAAAAATATATTTTTAAAATCTTTTCTTTATTATAGTATTTATTTAAATATTAGTTTTAATCAGTCATAATATTTTATAAAAATATTTATTAAATTATTATTAAAAAAAATGTTGAATTCATAATTCATAATTTATTATTTTTATTGTTATTAAGTTTAGTTTTTTTATTATAATATTATTTAAAAAAATCATTATATAATTGATTGCTTATAAAATTATTATTGGTAATATTTACTAATATTTTACATTAGTTAAAAATATATAAATCATTCGCATTTTGTAACACCAGTTTTAATTTTATAATCTTTACATTCATTTTGATCGAATAAATCACGAACTTGGTCAATTTCTGATTTCAATTTATCGGCATCTTTTTTATCACATTTGGTCTGAAAATAACCATTTATATAAATTTTTTAAAAAAATATTTAGAAATTTTGTAATATATTTAAAATAAAATCTCAAGTAAATTTTTTTAACAAAAATAAACATTATAAATAATTAACCTTGGCAAGTGTGTTGGCACAATCAAATTGAATGCCCATAAGACAGCAACCAAATTTTCGTTCCTTAATATGTTTATCAATTGTCGATTTATCCTCTTTATCGTAAACACATTTAAATACATCATCAATAATTTTCAAACAGCAAGCATCTTTTTTACAATCATCGGTAGTGTTGCCAACTTTTGAATCAAATAATTGGTGTCCATTACTACCGAATAGGCCGAGTGTGTGACCAAATACGGCACATAGAAATACAGCTGCAATTAAATAAGTTTTCATTGTGTTTGTCTTTTTGTTTGTTTTTGAAATTTAAGGTAATTAATAGTTTTATTTGCATTTAGTGTGTTATTATAAGAATAAATTGTTTTTCCTCTCAATTTATATACAATGAAAAATATCTTTAAATAATCTTAAAATATCTTTATTATTGAGTTTTAATTAAGATAAAGAAAGTAATTTCTATTTTCTTTAAAATTTCATTTTTTATTTTTTTTAATCAATAATATCATAACTGATTAATATGAAATTAATTGGGACAATTAACAAAAATATTAACAAAAAAAATAAAATAATAAATAAACACTTCACAGTTATCTACAGTCTTGATGATACAGTAGTTATTATATAATTTATTTTTATTATTAAATAAAAAGTGATGAGTTAGAAAAATACAAGTGTTTTAATTTATTGATTGATTAGTACCGTATGATAATTGTTAAACAAGTGGTAAGCAATAGATGATTAATAAACTATAAAATTAATAAACAATAGAAAAATTAGTTATTGAAGTTTGAACTGAGGAAATACTTTAATTGAATTGATAAATTTATTATTAATAAAAATAGATTATATTAGTGTATTGGTAGTTTATTAATTTTTTTTGCTAATTATTTATAAGATTAATTGTTATAAAATAAATTATAAAAATATTTAACTATCTATTTATTATATTATAAAATAACAAAATTAATATAATGCTTTTTATAACGTAAAAAATTTAGTTTAGTTTCTATGCATTACTCATATTTTATTACTCTATACAAACAAATATTGAAAATCTTTGTGTTTTTAAAATAAATATCACAATTATTCTAATAATTTTTCTATAATTGTAAAATACATCCAGTACATTATAATCAAAATATTAATTATAATTTTTATAGACTATATTGTAATAGTTGTCTACTTTTATTTATATATAAGTGTTAACTGTATGCTTAAGACCTGTGTTACGAGTCGTAACTTACGAGTGATCATTGATATCAAAGTAATATTAAAATAAATACAGTATATTATATAGTATTATAAGCCTTAATATCTACATAACTTTAAATCAAATTAAAAATTCTCTAAATAATGTATCAATTATTTTTATTATTTGATTTTTGTTGTTGTATAAATCTATATGTTAATGAAATAATATAAACAGCAAAAAATTAATATATTTAATTGAAATAATTATCGGTAATTTAGTTTCGTAATTAAAGACAAGTACCGGTTATATATTGTAATACTAGAAATAATCAATTTAATAGTATAAATATGTATTAAACTAAATTGTTATTATTAAATAAAAAATGTAATTTTTTAGAATAAATTAATTTTACTTTTATTTATGTATTAAGTTATACTAAATTAATCACTAATTTTAATAACAAAAATACAATTGCAATTTTTATTGCTTAACTTAACATTTAGATTTATCGGTAAATTATTTTTTTGAAATCTTGAATCACAGATCTAAATAATCACAGATTATTGATTACTGATAGAAATAAATTTTCAATCAAATTATCAATAATACTAAAAACTTTTCAAAAATAAGTATTATTATTATTACGATATTATTATTTAAATATTTTGTTTTTGTTGTTGTTTTTGTTGATAGAGATCTTCAATGACTTTGTAATAAAACTCGTGGATTGCATTTCGTTTCAATTTAAACGAAGAGGTCAACAGTCCGTTGTCCGGAAGCCACTGATCCCTACAGAGATACACACGACGAGGAGTCTCGGCTCGGGTTAGACCCGACTGACCACAAAACTCTTGTATCGCATGCAATACCCGCTGCTCGATATAGTTGTCAGTATTGATAGCAGTAGTAGTAGTTTCTACAGACGATATGGTGGACAGTTTGTTCAAGTAGTCATCGTTGGGCACTATCAGTGCGATTAAGTAGTTTTCCTCTGAGTGGCCATAAACGCAAACATTCGCAACAAATGGCAGCGCTTTAAGTTCCACCTCAACCTACCGGTGCAAATAAAAAACAAACATTTTATATTAAAATTATCACAAAAAAATTAATTACTTTGGACAGTGAGACGTATTCCCCATTTGATAACTTTATTATATCCTTTTTGCGGTCAACTATACGAAACGTACCGTCCGGATACCGTTCCCCGATATCGCCGCTACGAAACCAATGGACACATTTACTATCAATCATAAAGTATTTTCCTGTTAGCTCCCTGTTCTTAAAGTAGCCGTTAGCCACACAATCGCCACCAATAATTAATTCGCCTCTCGGATAGGGTTTATCTGTCACCCGATAGCCACCTTCTGGCCAATCGATCAACTTTATCTGTACACCGATTAGAGGTGCGCCCACTCGACCAACACTTTGGTCATCTAAGTCCATAATAGTAGCGGCGGCAGTGGTTTCAGTCAATCCATAACCTAATTTTAGCAATTGATTCAAAAATTATTGATTAAACACTAAGATTATAATAATGTCATACCCTGTAGTACACGACAATCAAACAAATTGCTAATAAATTGATGAGTTTCCTGTCTGAGCGGTGCACCGCCACTGGCCATAAACCGTACGTTTCCGCCTAAAAGTGAGGCAAATTTTTGACAAATAAACCGATTAATTAGCGGACAATCTAAACCACGATCCGACCAAAACTGCTTATAACGAAGCAATTGATTTAAGGCAGTCATCAACAGTGGTTGTCGTTTGTTGAGCTGATCACTGATTCCACGTATAATCCTTTCCAATATCAGCGGAACAGTTGCTATTACTGTCGGTTTCAGTAGAGTTAAGTCACCTTTTGATCCCATTTTTAGACCTAATGAACTGTCGGTTAGGGTGTGAACTGTTGCGTAGCCGACGGGCACACCGATAGACAAAAAGGCCAATTCGGCGCACAGTTCCATACAATGAGCTAATGGCAGAAAAGCACAGTAGATGTCCTCAGATGTGAGGACACCGGCATATATATAGAAGGCACGGATGGCCAGCAAGAGATTCTTATGTGATATCATCACAGCTTTGGGAATACCGGTAGAGCCGGACGTATACATGAGGACAGCCGTGTCACTAGTGGACTGATTTGTGACTTGAGATACAATTTGATGGTCTGACTCACGACCAATAGTTTCAATGGTTTTCAATAGTATTATTTTTTTGTCCAATTCTTCTACTATCGATTCACTACCTGTACTGTCCATAACTATCAGACATTGAAGATGAGGTAATTGAGATGACTTAGCCATAAGTTTGTCCAATAACTGGCCACCACTGGTCACCACATATGATACTTGGGTTTCATTCAAGCCGTGAACAATGCCGTCGTCCGACAAATTGGTGTAAAGTGTGGCCACTGTGGCTCCCAATCGGAACAACGCTTGACAGGTGACCATCCAATCCAAACATGTGTTCGCGTATATCATAACTATATCGTTGGCCACAATTCCGATCTTCGAGAGTCCAGTGGCCACGCAAGTGACGCGCACATCCAACTCGCGATAGGAAAGCCAATGATATTCATTCAAAGTATATTTCTTGATCACCTGTCCATCGGTTTGTTGTTCATTGTCCACAACCAGAACTGGACGATAGCCACATGACCGGCGGTCGAGATGTTTGTCTACAATTTTGCCAAACAATTCAGGTATTGTCGAACACCGGTAGGCTATGAGATACGATTCGTCTACCGGTGCGCCTCCCGGTCCTGATATCCCGATATCATCGTCGCACGACTTAACCCACGGTCCGCGCAACGGATTATTCGGGTCTAATGGTCGACCTCTCACGGGTTTGGCCGGTCGTCCAGCGAGATATTGAAGGCATAAATGTATGGTCAGTGGTATGATATGATATAATAGGATACCTATTGATACACAAGTTATCAATAGTGTTAACATTATTTGACTTTTAATTCAAGTACAGTACTTATAATCACATTACAGATAACATTCAATCAATTGATTTAAATCATTAAAATACTAATCAAATTAGTTTTTTTTAAATAAAATTTTTGATAAAATTAATTAGTTTTGAAAAATGTTTATTAAATATATAAATAAAATTATCAGGTTAATATTACTACCAATTAATTGCTATATAATAATAAATATATAAACTGTAAGTTTTCTTTAGGAAAATTAATTTATTTGTTAATTAATAAATAGGGAAAAAATGTCAAAATACTAACAATTAATTGTCAAACATTTATTCAAAAATATTTTTACATGTTATGTTTGTAAATAAATTTGAGCATGCGCATTTTTATTTGTCATACAGTACATTATATTAATATTACATATCTATTATAGCTATTATGTAATTATTAGTAAAAGTACCAAGTTTAAAATATATTCATAAGCATATAATTTTCATAAAATTATAATTATTAACAAAAAAAATAATAATACATCCATATAATTGTTATGATTGATTATATTATTTGTAAATTAAAGAATTAAAAATCATATAAATAAAAATTTTAATTAAAAATTTAAGAAATAAATATAATTACTGTAAAACTAATTGAAACGATGTAGATATTTTTAAATAATAAATTTAAAAAAAAATAATATTTTAAATACTTTATTAATGTCATATATTGATATTTATATAAATATATTTTAGTTTGATTTTTATGAAAAAAACTGTTATAAATTATTATACTATATTAATAAATTTAATAAATAATATTTAGATAACTTAATTACTATGCTTACTATCAAATAATTTTGATAATATTGTTTATTAAAGAATCTATAATAACTTTGTAATAACCTTTGAAAAATTATTAATGTTTTCAATCATAGAATTTTTGTTTTATTTTTCTTAACATTACTAAAAATGAATTTAAACAAATAGAAATAATAATTTATTAATATTACTTAGTTATTGCTAATAATAATATACTGTATATTATTGATAATAAATTAGGATTAAATTCCTAACGCTATTTTGTCAAAATAAATCATGAGTCAAATGATTTATTATTAAATAAGCTATAGTTAAATAAGATAATACTTATTAATTAAAAAGTTTTATCTATAAGTAAATTATATCTTATTTAATGTTAACTCATTTGATTCATGATTCATTTTTAACATAATTACGTTGGACATTTAATTAAAAATATAATAATAATAAAATTATTAATCAATAATTTTTTTTTTAATCAAACAATCAATTAAATATACTTTTATTTTGTTATTTTCTTTAAATAAAAAATTACATTTTATATTAATAATATTTTCTTTTAAATAATATCTTTAAAAATCTATTTAAAATAAATTATATTTATCAATTGAAATAAAAAAAAACTTGTTGAATACACAACAAAATACTATCCAAAAAAAAAATTCAAATAATAAACAACAATTTAATTAGTAGAAAATATTGACATAAATGATAGTATTATAATAAATGTAAAACTGGCAACAATTGTAACACTAGCTGAACATTTTCCATCATAATTGATATCAATTTTATTATCTTTACATTGTTTATCATTATTGTTTGCGTCAGTTATTTCTTTATCAATCTCTTTTTTGAAGTCAGCCGGATCAGTACATTTCTAATAATTTAAAAAAAACAACAAAAACATCAAATATAATATTTTTTTTAAAACTGTATATTTGATATAATTTTTTCTATTGAATATAAATTGAATTTAATAAATACCTTGGTGGCAGCAGCTTTGACACATGAAGCAAACTGTCCCATAAAACAACATTGAAATTTGACGCTATCCTTATATTTATCGAAAACATCCATATATTTTGAAGCAATTTCTGTCAAACAATTTTCTAAATCTTTATCGGTCTTTAATTTTAAGCAACATTCATCTGTTTTACAATCGATATCTAAATCGCCATAGAGTTGATTGTTAGACAATTTGTTTAGTTGAGTCAAATTTGTAAATATCAATGATTTAGTGTTTAATGCAAGCGATGGACCAATTTGTATGCTTAGACATAGTGTGATAAACACTAAAAATAATTTCACTATAATGTTAAACATTTCTAATGTATTACAAATTGATTTAATACAACAATTGATTGTAAACTATACTAAATGAATGTTAAATGTTTAATGTTAATAATATGTTGGTTATCTAATATATTGTTTTTTAAGCTCAACTGAGTTATTGAATTGAGTTTATTGATAGCACACTATCATAGAAACAATGATAATAATAATTAGTCACTTATAGTATTATGTGGAAATAAAACAAAAATCTATTTACAAAAAAAATTTTTTCCAAAATATTTAATTGCCTAGCTTAAATATTAATAAATTATATTAATAAATATTAATTGCAATAAATAAATAAATAGTTTTATAAACTATAAATAATTAAACTTTATTTTCTAAATAAAATTCTATTTAGTTTATTTTTAATATAAAAATACAAATTACTAATAAATCAAGGTAAACTGATTTATTTACTATGGTTACTAAATATGTAGAGATTAATTGACAAACAAAAAAATAAAAAAAATGTAATAACTGTAGAAATGTTTTTTATTAAAACAATTTAGTTTATCAAATAATATAATATTTCAATAATTGATTGATTGTTTGATTTATAAAATAAAGTAATCAAAGTTCATTTCTAGATTTCTAATAAACAAAATTTTATATAACAATTAAATATTAATAAATTAAATACTAAATATATACATTTATTATACAATTGTTAAAAAAATGTATAGGAACTAAATAAACTTGTAGTATAACTGATATAATTAAAGTATTATCTATAGTCTTATAACTAGTTATAGTTTTTTATAATTGGTTAATTAATTAATTGATAATTTAAAAAACATAATTGCTACTCATGACAGCAATTATAAGTAATTGATATTTATTTAGTAATAACGGAATTATAAATACCTAATAATTATAATAATATTTTAAAAATTTTTATTTTGAAATTAAAAGTACTAATAACAAAAAATAGTCGAGTAACTAATTAAAAAAAAATAATTTTGATAATTTAAATGTTAGAATTATAAAAATTAAATGTTAAATAAATTTATAATAAATGTCAATGTTTAAGTGAAATAATAACAATTTATAAAAAATAATATTGTCAATAAATTTATCAATTAGATAACACTAATCTATAATACTGTATTATACCTGTATTTCAAAAAAAATATGATTCATAAATTATGTTTGAAAAAATTAATGTAAAATTATTTTATTAAATATAAAAATGTAAATATTTTAAATAATCGAATTAAAATTGTAACTAAAATAATTATATTTTCAAGTTTTAAATAAGTAGTTTTGTACAGTAGTTAAAATATTGTATCAAATAGTTTAAAATATTTATTTCATATTATCAATTATATGACTAATATTTATGTAATTCAAATAATTGCTATTATTATTTTATTTTCTTAATTAACTAATTTAAATTAAATAATATTTAAACCAACATGAATTATTTATTCAAAATAACATTTTTACTAAAATAATAAGTTGAGCTAATTGATCTTAATTAGTATATTAACAACTAAAGATAATTAATTAAATATAAAATAAATAAATGCTTGAAAAATGTCAAATGTAATAATATGTTAACTATATCTTACTTTTATTAATATAATACAATACAATAAACTATACTTATTAACTAAAATAATTTTTTTATCTATACTGATAAAATAAATATACAATTTATACAATGTACTTTAATATAATTTTCACATAGAACATAAGTTATATTTAGAATATAATATATTTAATTTGAAAATCATATAATAATTTACACTTAAATTATTGAAATATTTAGCTAAACTAAACTGTTTTTACGTTCTTATAAATTCTAGACTATTTTATACATGAAATTAAATATTTTAATAATATTTTAAAATATGTTTATTGTTAATAATATATGTAAACTGTAAAATTATCAGCAGCGAAAACAATATGTATAATGCAATAATTTATATATATAGAAATTTATGTATAAAACAATTTTTAAATGATAGTTTTTTAAACGTTTTACTTATTATTATTATTATCCTAAAAAGTATTACACATTAAATCTATTTAAAAAAATAACATATATTATATATATAGATTTATAGTATCAAAAGTTTATGTAACAAGAAAAATCAATTATCAGCTTAAATAATAAACATGACTAATTAAAAATTTATAAATAATTTATTGAGAAAAAAATAAATATTAATAAAAACACAAATTTAAATTTTTTAAGTAATAATACTAATATAAAATTGTATTTTTGTTGTTATTAATTCAAATATAGTTTAACCGACACAAACGATATCATAATAAGTGCAATGTTAGCCAATAAGGTAACTGTGCCCGAACAATAACCAACATCATCTGAGTTTATTTTATGACCTGAACATTGACCCTCATTCAATAATTTTATAGTTTCTTCGTATGCTTTTTTGTATAGATCGTAATCACCTGATGAACATTTAGCCTATAAATAAATTTAATAAATTATTCTTTTTGTTTACAAATAACAATTTAATTGAAAAAAAGTTAAATGTAAAATACCATTAATAAATATAATAAAAATAATAATAATAATACCTTTGCGTTGTCTTTAATACAGTCATATAAAACAGTTGTTGCGCAACAACTAAATTTGATAATATCATCGGCTGTCCATTTTTTAACTTCATCTTCACCTGGTGTTCTTAGTTTGCCACTAGCACATTTTATAGCGTCGTCTTTGATTTTTATACAACAATCATAACCTTCCATACCTTCAGTACATTTGACTTCAACATCGATTTGGGATTTTATATTTAAACCAACTGCTGCTTTATTATTGTTATTATTAATATTATCACCAATTGTCAAATTTCCAAATTTTATTGACTGTTTCACTGCCAATGATTGGCCGCCACCGACAACTGTACAGACAACCAACAGTGTCATTGCAATATAACCCGAAGTAAGCATGGTTAGATTTTTTGTTTGTTTGCTGCAATTATGTATCACTAATATATAATAAATTTTATAACTTAAAACAAAATAGAAAAATCTATTTTATTAATAGTATATTGTATTATTTCAGTTTTTAAAAAAATAACTAATAAATAATTTAATTGTTTGTTTCAATTTATACTTTTTTTAGGTTAATATTATTTAATTAACTTCAAGTATTCTGATTAAAAAAATATTGATATTAGGCTAAAACCCTAATTATGTTTCTTAGTCACAATTTTTTTTATCAGTTTTTTATATATTTATTTAATTATTACCACAACTCATGAAATATATTGTATATTTATACCGGTAACCGGTATATACTGTATTTATAAAATTTATTATATACATCATTCAAAAAGTTTAGAGCTGTGCTAAAACTAAAAGCATTATAATATTTTATAAGCTTATAGTAAATATTTAAAAATGAGCATTATGTAACTTTTGATTAAAGTTTTTCAAAATATAATTAAATATTTTTTATTGGTTCGCTTATCTTTCATCTGAATGAAACCAATTTTATTGAAAAATTATGTTAAAGAATATATTTTATTCTCAAATTTGTAGACCTAGGTGATAATTTTTAGTTTCCAGACATTTTTAAAAATAAGTTAAAATCATGTAATAATTAAACATATTATAAAAAATTAAATTAATAACTAGATTAACCAACTTAAATGCCAATTGTAGAGCTAAAAGATTCTTTTACTTTGTATATTGTTATTATTAAAATATACATTACGTTTTTACTCAGCTCTAAACTTTTTTAATGACGTGTTAAGTAGTTTCATTGTTTCGTGAAATTTTTGTTAGCTCTATGTATGCTTTAAAAATATTTAATACAATATATTGATAAAACACATAAAAACGTAAAACTATACGTATATTTTATATATAATTTTACATTATTTAATCTAGTAAATTTAATCTAAAACGCCCATGATATTTTATTCCGATTATACTAATACAGTAACAGCTTTATAGTTTTAACATGTTTTAACTCATTGTAAATTAAATTAAATATATAAGCTAATTTTGTAATCTATCTTAAAAGTCGATGTCAATTTTACATTTTTAAATATTTTAATTTACACATATCCTAGAATAAAATGTATTTAATTTTAATTGTGTTATTTAATACTGGCAAACATTTAAAGTGATTTGAAATATTAATTTAATTAGTATTACTGTTTTAATATATTATATACTGTATATCTAAACTAAAAAATAATACAAGTAGGAATAATACCGTAGTATACAAATATATTATTATTGAATCATACTTAAATATTTTATCAATAGATAAGTGAGTAATTTAAAAATTAAAAAAAAATAAAAATAAATAATTAAATTACTTGATTACTGGGTAATTGTTTGTAGCATAATTTGATGATTATAGAAAAAGTAACTAAAGATCAAAAACGATATAATTGTATTTAGGGTACACTGTTTTATAAAATAATAATTATGTGATAATAATACCAAAACTAATCTAAATAAATAAAAAAAAATTTATTATCATTATTCAATATTATTTTTTTTAGTTAGCTATTGAAAAAGTTATACAACATCCTGTAAAATACCTTAAAATAATTAGTAAAATGATGGCAAAATATTTTAAGGGAGTTTATTGATTGAAATTAATATATAAATAGAAACAAATAAATTATTATTTACCTTATATTACAATATTTATTAATAAAATTTTTTAGAATAGTGGGGAGTTTTCTAAAATAATTTTTATACAGATTTATTTATTACTTTTAAATACTGGTTTAAGTACTGCCATAATATTTATATATTATATTGATAGTGTATCTATCGTTTAAATTTATATCTATTATGTTAACCAATCGTCAAATTAACAAAATATTTTAATCTATATAATATTTTTTTTGTATAAATTATTATAAAATGAATGATAGCATTTTAACAATTTTCAATTAATTTTAGATATACATGTATTTTATTAATGTACATAATAATAACTTTCTTAAAATATTTGAATATATTTATCAAAAAAAAAATTTAAGTATTTTCTATTAAAATTCAATTATTTATATAATTAAATAAATAATTAATTTATAAAATTATATCAATCTTAAAATTAAAATAATTTGTAAAGAAAAATAAAAAAAACAATTATATATTTATTATAGCAAATAATGTCACAATAAGTAAATTGATATACCTGTAGTTAATTGATATACAATAGTAATTTAATATTTTTAATATAGATATCTAAAAATATAAACTAAAATCTACATTCAAGTTATAATTTGTACTGTAACACCCTATAGTGGTACAGTAGTATACAAATATATTATTAATAAATTATACTCTTACATTCAATCAATAGGTGAGGGACTAATTGAAAAAATTGATAATTAATATAAAACTAGATAATTAAATAACTTAATTAATGATTTATTGATTAATTTTTAAGTAAATGATTATTTAAAAACTGAATTAAAGTGTCCAGGTGAAAAAATGACATAATATAATTGCAATAATGTTTTAATATAAAGATAAAATAAAATTATTCTAAAATTAATATCCAAAAAATACCTAATGCACTAATAAGTAGTTTTTTAATCACAAATTAATATATTAGTTATTTAAAAGTTTTTTAATTTCATAAGTATCACAACCTTTAATGAAATATCAGTAATAAATAAATAATAACAAAAATTTTTAAGATAATTTATAACAATTAATAGGAAAAAATAGTATAAATAGAAACAACTATTAATAATTTATAATTAATATTTTTTTATGAAAAAATATTGCTATTAAAAATTTAGTACTATTATTTTTTTATTACTATATTTTTACTACAATAATACTAATAACAATCAATTTAACCATGATCATTGCAGATTGTATTGGTATAACACTGTTGTTTGTTTGTACAATACTGGTCGGTAGCCAATCATCTATTATAAACGAGAACTTAATTTTTGGCAATTTGACCCACAATGACAACAACAATAATAATAATATAATATTATCTCTAAATAGTTTAAACTATAAATCAGATGGAGATATAGCGATAACATGTATTGAGGGCCAACCAGGTTATGATTGTTGTATGAAAATCAAAGACGACGCAAGAAAATGTATTAATAGTAAACTACGATTACCTAATAAGGATGAAACTGATAAATGGTCTGCGGATGATATACTCAAATATAGTTGTTGTGCTATTACTATGATGACTGACTGTATAGAAATAAGCGCCAAAGTATGTGTTTTATGTAAATTGTAATTGTTTTATATATATATACAGTATATTTAATTTAGTTGTTATTGTTGTAATATATCTATATACTATTATATAGTTGTTATTTATTTAGTTATATTTAATTTATTATATTTAATTTTTTTATAATACATCAATTTAGACAACATGTTCGGCAGATGATTATGATTTGTACAAAAAAACAATTGTCGAGGGTATTGATAAATTGAATAAAGGACAGTGCGCTGATCATAAAATAGAGTCGGGCAAATATGATTTTTGTTTAAAAACTGATCCAGCACCACCAACTACACCCACTGTTGCCCCAACCAGCGGTTCAATCGGTTATATTAATCGACAAAATCTATTGACAAATGTTTTATTTGTAATCACATCTATTATTTCAATTAGAAAATATTTTAATTAATTAAATATTTTTGAAAGTAATACTAATAAAATTTATTATCTAAATAACTTGTTATAATTATTTTGACATTTTTCTTAATTATTAATGTTTTATATCCTATATTATAGACTATAATATTTAATAAAATTAATATTCATTTCTTAATTTTTGTTTGCTTTTTAAAAAAACATTTTTAAATAAATAACGAATTTATATATTTATTTAAAATCTAAATCAACAAAAATAAACTACTTAATTAAATAAATATATTTATCTTATTTGACATTTTAGCTAATTAATTATTATTACATTTTTATGTGAGTCATACATATAATTTAGATAATACTTATAAATATAAGTTTGTTATAAATTTTAACAAGAATTTTAAAATACGTAATTCAATCACATTATGTTAACAGTCATGTGATAAATATTAAATATTAATTATATTTTTAATCTAATAATTAGTTATAAATTGTTGATAATCTTTGACATATAATTTATAATTGGAATTGTTGTTATATCTTTTAAAATTACTTTATATTTTGTTTTTAATTAATATATTGTTTTTTAATTTATATTAATAACTGTTGTATTTTAAACTTATTTTAAATATTTTGTTAATCATTATTTTTTAACTTACTAACTAAAAACAATGCAATTAATTTAATATTTATAGTGTAAAAAATTAATTTTTATAAATTATAAGATTATATATAAGTAAAAATTAAAAAGTATTATAATTAAAATAATTTTTTTAAAATAACTATAAACACTATTAATAATATATAGTTTTGATTCTAGTTTAATTCTAGATTATTAATTATTATATATAAATTAGATAGAAAAGAAAACAATAATAAGTTTATTAGCAAAAAACATAAAAACTATATTTAAATATTTATAATGCTTTAATATATTTTAATATTATGCAATAAAATAATTAATTTTAAATATTTATTTAACTTAATCAATATGTATTAATAATATTTTTAAATAATAAACATAAATTTTGAAAATAATATTTTCAAACAACATATATAATTTAAATATAGTTAATAACTGAAATAATTGATACAATAATATATAAAGCATTTGTTAATATAATTTGTTTATTGTTATCACCGATTGAACCGCTTATTGGGGCAGCAGTGGGAACAGTAGGTGTGATTTTTGAACAATAATCAATATTGCCCGGGACAATTTGATGATTGGCATATCCAACTATATTAACTACTTTAATATTATTATCAATTTCTTCTTTGTATACCTTATAGCCATTTTCCGAACATAAATACTAAATAAATATACAATTTATAGTTAATTAAATTTAAATTATAAATAAATATATATTTAATATTACTATAATATTATATTAGTAAAAAAATAAAAGAAATACTATTAAATTTCTATCTATAATTCAAACAATAATAAACAAAAATTAAATTAATATTTAGTACTTTTAAATATTATACATTAATTAAACCTTTAGTTTTTGATTGTTTTTGATCTCAACAAATAATTAATTCAAATTTTACTGAAAAATTATCACTAATAGTCTAAAATTATATAAAATAATAACATTTTAATCAAAAATTTTTTGATTTACTTTCGATCTCAACTTTAATTCAAATAAAATTAAAAATAAAGTACTGTATATCAATAGTGATATCAATGAAGTTTACTTAAGCTCTGATAAAAATAGATTAAAAACTTTTAGGAAACTTTTATTTTTGGATAATTTGATTATAATTTGAATTAACAATTGTTGATAAATAAACGGAAAGACTAATGAATTTAATATTTGTTTAATAGTTGTTAATACTGTATATTAGTATTCAAATAGACACCTACCCGGGCATTGTCTAGTATACAGTCAGTTATTAGAGTAATAGCACAACAATCATATTTATTAATATCATCGGCTGTCATGTCCTTAATTTCCTCCTTAGTGGGCACAAGTAGTTTACCATTGATACATATTTCGGTTTCGTTTTTGATTTTTTTGCAACATTCATATACGGGTATACCTTTAATACATGATATCTCTATTTTATTGTTAGACTTAGTAATCATAACTAATCCAAAATGTTGGCCAATAGTATTTTGCAATAAATTTATTTGTGGTTTTACTACAAATGTTTGACAGAGTACTGTACTCCCAACCAATAGTGTCATTACAATATAACCTGCGATAATCATAGTTAGACTTATTTTTCAACAAATTGTAACAATTATTTAGTTTTCTAAAACACTTACTATATTTAAATTAGATTTGTTGAGTTAAATATATACTTTTTTGTTATCAATTTGTTTTTAAATAAAATTTAGTGCCATAAAAATTATCTATTAATATACATATTATAATACAAATATTTTACTAATAATAACATTTATGTAATAAAATAATGATAAAATTTTGTTTGTTCTATTAGTGTATATATTAATACATATAAAATAATATATTCTTTACTAACATTTATTATAATTTATTTTAGTATTCTTACAATTTTTGTCTGAACTATTACACTAACAAAAAATTATTAATCGTTAAAAAAATGTTAATTATTAAACTGAAAAAAATATGATTTCAAGATTTATTATATTTAAACAATTAATTTTTATACTTTTAATTCATATATTAAAATGGGTTGTTTAGCAATGCAAATATTAATGATATTATACGCAATGAGTTTTACCAGTTTCAGCAATAATATAACACATATTTAGTTATAGAAAGTTTATAATTATTTTTTTATATTAATTTTTGTTTTGTAATAAATTTTTAGTAATCTTGTTTACTCTTATATATATATATATATATATAAATATACTTAACTATATTTTTACCAAAGTGTTCACATGTTTTTTTGTTGTAATAACCAAAAATTATTATTTTAATAAATTATATATTATATATAGTAATAATATCATTAAGAAAGTACATGTCATGAAATAACAATTATGTTTATGAACTTTACTTAAACTTTTAATTAATAATATTAAAATAAATTTTGATAACAAAGGTTAATTTAAAATCAAAGATACAAAATTTATTTTTTATAACTTGAAATAATTTGATGAAACAATAAATAAATTTTATACTAATAAATAATTTTAATACTATTACTGCATAATTTATTTTAATATTGTTGATAAAATAATATATTTATAGATAGACTAAATTGATCTATTAAAAGTTTAATTATTTTATAAGTATAATTATTAGGTATAAATTTTTAATTCTATGTAACATAAAATATAAAGATAATTTAGATAAAAACAATAAATTAGTATTTATATTAATATATTATATATAATATAAGGGTATAATTTTATAATAACTTACTAATTTTATTTAAAATGATTTAGATTTGTGAAGAAAGTTTCTTATTTTAACAACTACCTGTACTAGATCAATTAACTTTTTATAAAATAATATGGTATTATGTAACAATAAGAGATGAACAAATAGAAAGTTTCTAATAAAGTTTATATAGAAATTAAACTTTATTGTTATACTGTGGGATCCAATTAGACTAAAATCCAAATCCAATCCAGGGATTGCAAAAAATTCACAAAAAAATTAAGTTAAATTTCCGAAAGTATATTGTTGTTTGATTACCGATGATTGGCTGCCGCCGATACATACGACCAACAATGTCATTGCAATAAAACCTGCGGTGATTATGGTTAAGTTATTTTTTTTATTGTAATATAATATAAATTAAAAAAAAACTATTTAGCTTTTAATAGTATTACTGTATTTTTATTACTAAACAATTACTAATTATTTTATACTTTTAAAAAACTTATTTAATTCAATTTATATTGTTTTTAACTTCAATATATTGATTAAATTTTATTACCAAATAGTTTATCAATAGACGAATTAAAACTACTGTATTTTTTTAATTGTATTATTTTTATAATTTCATAATAATTAATACATGTATAGATAACCACAGACATAGAGTATATGTATAAAATGTTTAATTTTTTATTAAAATTTTATAATCACACAATTTTATATCAGTTTTTTGGCTTTAAAATTATTTTTATAATTCAAATAAAATATATAGTATATCTGAATGAAAAGTTTACAAATTATTTAATTAAATATTATTTTATAATGAATTAAAATAATGATTTTTATTCAAAAAATTTCTTTTATATAGTTTTAACTATCTATATCCTTAATGACTAAAAATTTATAGTTAGTTAATCATAAATAAATATAAATCAAATAACAAAACAACTTTAAAATACATAAATTCTATTAGTTTTAATTAAAACATTATTTTACAAACACAAACAGTGCCAAAAAAAATGTTTGTCAATATATTACATTTTTCGACAATAATCAATTTGACCCGACACAATTTTGTGATTCACACATTCATTTTGATTGAATTGTTTGGTGCTTTTGTCAATTTTATCGATATATAACTTATGATCTTCTGATGAACATTTAGTCTAAAATAAAGTACAGTAAAAAATATTTGGAAATTATAAATTTTTGTTTTATTGTAATGTTATTTATTTAATATATTTGTTTTAAATAACTATAAAATTACCTTGGATATGTCATTTACACAGTCAAACATTATAGTAGTACCGCAACAAAAATACTGATCCAATTGATCGTCTGTCCATTTTTTAGTTTCCTCATCACTTGGTTTTTCTAGTTTACTATTAATACATTTATTTCCGTCATCTTTGAATTTTTTGCAACATTCATAACCGGGTCGATCACCAATACATGAACAGCTTATGTTGAAATTGATACCTAATTTATTGTCTACAGTAAAGACAATATTTTGACCAATTGGTAAATTATCAAAAGTTGATTGCGGTTTGAGTATAGATGACTGGCCACTGCCGAGTATTGTACACACGACCAACAGTGACATTGCAATATAACCCAAAGTGATCATGGTTAAAGTAATTTTTATTTGTTTAGTAACTAAAATAAAATAGTTAAATATAATAATATTTATATAACAAAAATTAGTTTCTAATAGTATTGCTATTATTTTACCAATTATTTAATTCAATTTATACTTAGTTATTTTTTCTGTTAATCAATCAAAATCTTATGATAAAATTGTATCAATGAAAGTACAAAAACAATAAGTAATTTTTTAATTAATTTTTTTCTACTTTATATCTATTGTACATAAATTATTACTGAATTATTATCTATAGTATAGAGTCTATACTATCAATACTACTGTTAATGTATAGATAACCCCACACCGAAAAAAAACAATCGTATAATAATGAGTCATATATTAAAATTGAGCATGGTTGATTAGCTAACTAGATATATCTTATTTATAAAAATTTATTGAACTTTAGAATGTTTAAGACGTCTAAATATGACTCATTTTAATTTAAAAAATAATCTGGGTAATGTTTAGATAATCATAAAGCAACAGTACTTTATTACTTTAATATTATTAAATTATAATGTACTATTAAAAATTATTTTTAACTAATATTTAAAATAAATATTATTTTTTACTAAATTTATTAAATAAGTTCTATTATAAAATTTATATTTTAATTTTAAATGATAATAATTTGTTGATTGATTGTCAAAAAATTTTGATTTGCCCTTTAAGTTAAAATATGCTTTTATTTTTTTTGTTTTAAAAAAAAAGAATATATAATAATTAATTTTACAAATAAAATGTAATCATATATTTCATAATTAAGTAAACAATTTTTTCACATTTTATTAGTTTATTTGGCGCACAGAGCATTTTTTACCATCCCTGGAGTACATTAAACAATGGATGGGAAAAATCATAAAATGGTGAACGAGAAACTGTAATAACAGATATTTAACAGTAATCCATTAAAAACGGTATATTTATAGAAATATAAGCTCACAATGAAACTAATACTTTTTTTTTAAAAAATAACAATTATACAATTTATTATGCGATAGATTACATCATTTAATTTTTTGTTGAAAGTTTTGTATTGAAAGTGTTGGTTTCATTGCGCACTTATATTAATTATTACCGATTATTAATTAGTTTATTAGTTACAACAATATTTAACGTTGAATGACATATTTGTATAAGTTTACCGTATTTTTTACATAATATTAATCGGTAAATAAATAGTATCTTATAATTGTTATTAATAATATTGATTGAAATACAATTTTTGTAATTATAAAAAACAAAAACAAAATTTTATTTATTGTTTATATATTATTCTTTTTAATTACATTTAATCATATTAAATAAAAAATAAAAATAAATACTTAACAATTAAGATTATTATATATAAATTTTTAATTAAGTCTTTAGTAATATTTATTTAATAGATAATTATTTTTCACTTAAATCAATTATTAATTTATTTTAGACTTAGATTTTGTAAATAAAAATACACTAATTGATAGTACAATTTATTTTAATTAAACAAATATATTATGAATATTTTTAAAATTTTAAAAATCTAACTCTTGTTAAAAACTGAAATATTTGATGCAATAATATATAAAGCATTTGTTAAAATACTTTGTTTATTGTTACCACCGATTGGACCGCCAGTTATGACTGGGATTGGGATAGCAGTGGTTGGAACAGTTGGTGTGGTTTGTGAACAATAATCAATTTTACCCGGTACAATTTTGTGATTGGCACATGCAACTTTATTTGTTTCATTAATACCCTGCTCAATTGCTTCTTTGTATAGCTTGTAATCATCAACCGAACATGAATACTAAATATATATACAATTTATAGTTAATTAAATTTAAATTATAAATAAATAAATATTTAATTTTATTATAATATAATATTAATAAAAATAAAAGAAAAGCTACAATATTAAATTTAATTGTATAATTTAAACAGTAATAAACAAAATTTACATAAATATTTACTAGATTTTATTATTAAACAGTAATTGACATACTAAACCTTGATGTCTTTGATGTTTAATAATTAATTCAAAAATAATTAATTTAAAATTTTGCTAAAAAATTATAGTTTTAAATTATATGCAAATAATTAGAAATTAAATAATAATTCAAATTCTATTGATTTACTTTAGATCTCAACTTTAATTAAAATAAGATTAATATATATCAATATTTTAATCAATAAAGTTTACTTAAGCTTACATAAACTTTTATGATCGCCATTTTTAATTATTTGCATTTATATAATTTGTAAAAATATAAGTAATAATTTTTTTTATAAAAAAGACTAAATTTTTAGGGAATTTAAGTTTATTTTAACAAAATTTGATTATAATTTGAATTAACAATTGTCTAGAAATTAATCTGCAAAAGACCAAAGGGTTTAATTTGTCAATTACTGTATATTAGTATTCAAATAGACACCTACCCGAGCATTGTCTAGTATACAGTCAGTCATTAGAGTTATAGCACAACAACTATATTTAGTAATATCATCGGATGTCATGTTTCTAATTTCCTCCTCAGTGGGCACAAGTAGTTTACCCTCAATACACTTAATGGCGTCGTCTTTGATTTTTTTGCAACAATCATAACCTGGCAAACCTTGAGTACATGTTATATCTACTTTAATGTCTGTATCGTATTTAATGGCTGATCCAATATGTTTGCCAATAGTAATGTTGCCAATGGATGCTATTTTATTGTTTGATTTAGTCATCATAATTGATCCAAGATGTTGACCAATAGTCATTTGAGACAATTTATTTTGCGGTTTTACTACCGATGATTGACTGCCACCGAGTACTGTCATCACAACCAACAATGTAATTACAATATAACCTGACATAATCATAGTTAGACTTATTTTTCAACAAATAGTAACAATTATTTAGTTTCCTAAAACAATTACTATATTTAAATTAGATTTCTTGAGTTAAATATATACGTTTTTGTTATCAATTTTTTTAATATAAAACTTGTTGCCATAAAAAATTATCTATTAATATACATATTATATTACAAATATTTTACTACTAATAAAATTTATTATTCATAAATAAATCACTTTTTATTTTTTACGTAAATAATATAATAAAATAATGATATCATTTTGTTTGTTCTATTAGTATATATGCATATAAAGCAATATATTCTTTACTAACATTGATTTTTATTGCATTATTCTTACAATTTTTGTCTGAACAAAATAATTATTATCACATTATTTCATATCAAAAAAATTATTAATCAATGTCATGATATCAATGTAATCAAAAATGTTAATTATTAAACTGAAACAAAATGATTTCAAGTTTTATTATTTAGTAATCATAATTATATTTCAACAATTAATTTTTATACTTTTAATTCATATATTAAAATATTTTGTTTTATTTTGTATTGCTTTTAAAGTATTATAATTAAGTTATTTTATATTTAAATATTTAAAATTTTATTATATATATATAAAGTATACCCGAAATATTTCATTTATTTTTAGTTTTATAATAAATTTTATTTTAGCATTTCTAATTGATTTTATTGTCTTAAATAATACTTTAAATATAACCTATTTTTATGTTAATTTCAATATATTAAATACAAACTTATTTCATGTATTTTCTTAGTATACGATTTATATTATCATATATACATATACAGTACATATTTTTGATATACATTGTTAATTAAACATATATTTGATTTACTAAATATAACTATGAATTTACTTGCATTTTATGATTATTTTAGTCAAAATATGATTTTATGATTTATTTTAAAGGGTTATAATCCTAACATTAATGTATGTCAAAGCAGCCGCTTGTGCGGCCACTTACCCAAACATGTGTATAAAAATAGGATATTGACTGACCATTAGGACAGTCACTCTCCATACACACACATTACTATACTTTGTTTAAACTTATTTTCATTAATTATTGTAATACTTTATAATTTATATTATTTCAATAAAAGTTACAGTTTTTATAATTTCAAATTACGACTGCAATTGTTTTATATTATTTGTTTAAATAATTAATATATTTTCAAGCAACTTTATATATATATATTAAAATAGTTTGATTTGTGATACAGATCTTATCATACGCTATGATTTTTCTCAGTTTCAGCAATAATATAACACATATTTAGTTATAGAAAGTTTATAATTAATGTTTTAATTTTTAGTAATCTTGTTTACGCTTGTATATAAAAATGTTTTATCCAATGATGCAAAAAAAACAGTATCAAATTATATATACATTCATTTTTAAATATATTTTTACCAAAGTTTAGATTATTTTTTGTAATAAAACGCCACTAATTTAAAAGCTATGCAATACATAAGCATATAGTTAACTATTTTTATAAATGTCGTTAATGTATATCTATAGTAAATGTTAAAATGTTTTATTGTATTGTTTATGTTATCATAGATACTGTACTTTTAAATATTAAAATTGATTTTATTTATTCTATTTAATAACTATAAAATTTAATGTATTTTATATAAAACATATTAATCTTTATTTGTAGTAATAAATAATAGACTTAATATTACAATATTATAAATTATATGCTAAGTAACATTTAAATTTTTTATTAGTTTTTTCTAGAATTAATTAAGTGATAAAATATTATTTTAGTTTTTGTTGTTATCGTTTATTATATTAATTAATATGATTTCAATAATTTCATTGTAAATGTGTAACCATAAAAAATAATTAATGTAATATTTAATTAATATTTTTTTTATATAAAACTCAATTTTATTAATAAAATGTTTATTAACTACTTTAAATACATTTTCTAATTAAGATAGCACTTTTTTTGCATTTAATTAATAATAAATTTTGTAAATATTATAATATAACAATACAAATATAAAATACCAATATAAAAATAACATCACTAAATAACAGAATATATAAATAATATAAATTAATATAAATAAAATATACATATTAGTTATATAGTTATATATAAGTGTATATATAAGGTAGTATAGATACTATTGTATTTTTTAATAATGTAATTAAAATTTAAAACAATAATTAAACATATTTATTTTTTATTAAATATCTTTATTTATTAAACATAATAATTTTATTATTTATAATAAATTTATAGATAATTTAGTCAATAACAATTTATTTAATTTAAGTCCAAATATAGCTTTACTAACACAAATCTCAACATAATGTATGACAATATATTAGAGGTTTTTAACAAAAATCAATTTTATGATTAACACAATCAACTTTGTTAAAAAAAATTATTTTTTCGTCTATTGAATATTTGCATAAATTGTAGTCATCTGATAATCATTTAGCCTAAATATAGTAAATTAAAATATTCAATACAGCAAGCTATTAATGTATTAATGTAAAATAGATAAAATCTTATTTAATAATATAATAAATTTTTTAAAAACTTATCTAACCTTAGAGTTGACTACTATACAGTCAAACAGTATAGTTTCAGCGCAACATATAAATTGTTGAATATGATCCTGGGACTATTTATCTACTGTATTTAAAATGTATTTTTTATAACTTTTAAATAATTTGATGCAGCAGTAAATAAATCTACTATTAATAAATAATTTCAACACTATTACTGTAGAATACATTTTAATATTGTTGATAAAATAATATATTTATAGATAGACTAAACTGATCAATTTAAAGTTTGATTATTTAAAGTATAATTTTTTATTAAAATTTTATGTAATATAAAATATAAAGAAAAAAATTGGCCTTTTATTCAGGTAAAAACTATAGAGTAATATTTATATTAATATATTATAGATTATATACAATATTATAATATACAATTTTATAAAAAACAGTAGTTTTATTTTATATGATAAACTTTTTAATGTAAGTTTTATTTTTGATAATATTTTAATAACTAATTGGACTAAATCAATTAACTTTTTATAAAAAATTATGTAATGCAACTTATAACGTGATAATTAATACATGCAATTGTCTTATAATTTGTTAGTAATTAATTTTTGTTAAATATTGTTATTAAGCTTTTTGTTTTGTTTTGGTAAATCTATATTACTGTATAGGCTATAAAAAAATTCTGTGAATCATATCTATATCTTAACATAATTTATTTAAATCAATTTGATTACAATTTTTTTTAAATAATATAATATTTTTCTTAATAAATCAAATAATCAATGTCATACATAACAATTGTATAATCAGCTAATTAATAGCTAATATTAATATTTATCTAAATACTTATAATTTTGTTTGTTTGTTTAATTTTTGAAATATAGTTTAATCTATATAAACGATATCATTAGAAAAAATGCAAAATATTATTCAATAAAGTATTAGCAGTCTCTATCTTACTATCAGACCTCATCAGACTCCCGACTCATAGTGTTTTGTGAATATCTATTAAACTATATTTTTAATATAAAAACCTCTTTTAACGGGTCTGATGCAATTATCTGGCCAATCATATGAGTAAATAAAAAATAATTAATTATAAATATATCCAGTCTAAAATTATCTACAACTTTGCCATTGGTCATTTATATATTAAAAATATAGTTTAATAGATATTCACAAAACACTATGAGTCGGGAGTCTGATGCTGGTCTGATTTTAAGATAGAGCCTATTAGCAAACATATTGTTTTATCGTTACAGACTATAACTAGAACCCCTATAACTAGAAAGTATTGACAAACGGGTGTCTCGTCTAAAAAAATATGCAAAAAAAGATAAACTTTTCTTTTGAGACCAAAGTATAATTGCAAAGCAATTTAAAATACAACAAAAATGAATTTTAATTCTACATATAATATATATAAACTATAAATTTTTAAATATACTTTATAAACGTTTGTAATGAGAAAAATAAATAATAGAATTGAACAAATAAATTTAATAATTATATATTTAAAATATTTTATTAAAATGTTTATCTTTTAAAAAAAATAATATATTAATACAAATATAGTAAAACTGAAACAATTGATGTCATAAATATAGTATTAATCAATTGTTGATTAATAGGACCGATTGAACTGCTGGTTGGAACAGGGGGTTGAATTTTATGTGAACAAAAATCAATATCACCCGAATCAATTTTATGATTAACACAGTCGTGTTCATTCAAATAATTGATAGCCAAATCAAATGTAAGTTTGTATAACTCGTAATCATCTTTTGAACACATAGCCTTAAAATATAATAATAATACAGTAAATAATTATAAATATATTCTCAATTTACAACTCTTGCTATATTAGTATATTGAAAATATTTAGGTTAAAACACACCAACAAAAAAAACATTAACTATTTATCAATTATTAATAGGAAAAATTTAAATTGAATATATTAATAAACTATAATATGTATACCTTTGCATTATATTTGATACAATCAAATAATATGGTTTCACCACAACAAAGATATTTGATTTGATCGTCGGCCGACATTTTATTAAACTCGTCATCACTGGGTATTCTTAGTTTACTATTAATACATTTTGTTGCGTCGTCTTTGATTTTCATACAACACTCATAGCCTGATCCGGTATCATCACATTTTACCACCACTTGTCTACCCCCTGTTATATAATTGATACCAATGTTATTGTTATTACTGCCAATAGTCAAATTGCCGAAAATTAATTGCTGTTTGAAAACTGATGATTGAACGCTAACAAGTACTGTACAGACGACCAACAATGACATTGCAATATAACCCAAAGTGATCATGGTTAAATAAATTTATTGTTAATGTTATTTTCAATAAATATTAAAAGTAATTATAATTTTACTATTGTTTCACTAATATTTCAGTTTTAAACAATAACTACTTATTATACAAATTTTTTTTGCTTAAATTTATACTTTTTTCTCAATGGGATTAATATTATAATCTCAAATGTCTTGATTGAAATAAATAAATATATAATATATATAATCAATAATACTGTTATCTTAGTAAACCGATAATTATGTTTTTTAGTCACACATTTTCATAGCAGTTACAATAGAATTATAAATTTTCACAATTTATGTATATTTTTAATTTATTAATATATCTATACACAGTCTATACAGTATTTATGCGATTATGATAACAAAAATTGTGTAATCATTAATTAATCCAATAGAGAAATAAATTTTTATAATATAAGAATAAAAAGTGTTAAAACTTAGTAAATATTTAGTTAGACAACCAGTATTAGTAATGGACAAATAAAAATTTCTAATAAATTTGCTTGATAAAGTTTCTAGTAAATTTATCAAGAATTTTATTTTCTACTCCATTAACTATAGCTATTATAATTTAATACAGTACTATATATACTAGAAACTAGACTACTATACAATGTGATCACTATAAATAAATATCTAATTATAGTTAGTTCTGTAAAATTTTATTCATTATTCATATATTTTATGTTAAATTAAAAAAAAAATAAATTTATTATAATTTTGAAAATTAATTAAAATACTAATAATAATATTTAGTTATTTTTGCAAATAATTGTATTATTGTTATAAAATAATAAATATGAAAATTTAACATTGGATCACCTAGACACAATTTTCTTTCAAGAAATTTTTTAGTTATTTCTTTATTATTTTATAAAACTTCTGATCACATTTTCCTTACTGATCTAATATCAATAGTCACTACAATTAATATTTTTACTAAAAATCTAGATATTGTAAAATATCTTTAATTGAAAATACATAATCGTTTAGATATATAATATATATAGAAATTATACAAAAAAAATTATTAAAATAAATTATTTAATTACAATAGACTTTTAATTTGAGTTATTTTTAAATATAGCAATTTAATATTTTTTTTAATTTATTGTTTAAAAGATGCTAAATTAAGTTTCTTATAAAATTAATATTAATCTAATTTAATTAATTAGTTTTTAAATATTAATTTAACTTAATTGTATACATTAAATAATATTTAGTGTATAATACAATAGTAATCTAATATTTCTACATTTGCAGTAATAATTTAATTTATTTATTATAAATGAATAAATTTCATTCATTCATTAAATTAAGTATTTAGTTAATTAATTATAAAATTAAAAATAATTTATAATTAAATAACTTAATTAAAAATATATTATTTTATTAGTATTCAAATATATATAAGAATTTCTGTATTTAATATTTGTAACAATAATTTTTGTTAGATAATAGTTAATAATATTTTCATTATCATTGTGATAGTATCCATGCATTTGTTTTTATAACTATGACTTATTGAAAAAAAACTGTTATAAAATATTGTAATCTAGACTTTTGTTTGATTTACTAATAATATTTTATATAATAATTTATTTTCTTTTATTAATTTTATGTTTTTTACATAGTTTATTTAATTTTAAATTTACTACAAAGTTTATTTTTGCTGTAGTTAAAAATTTTATCCATTAATTATTAAAGTAATTTTTTTTATTAAAATTCAATATTAATCAATATTTAAAATGTCAAATGTTAACAGTTAATTATTTTTTAATTTATATATAATAAACGTAACTGTAATAAATACTGTATAACTTAATGTATTACTATAACGATAATCTTAATAATCTTAAAATCATATTATTGCAATCATAATATAAAATTTATATTAGCAATAAATTTGATACAGTCATTAGATATAAGTTTATTATTTTATAACTATATAGTTGTATAAAAAATTTTATATTAAATAATTATTTTAATAAATTAGAAAAATAAAGAATAAAGCTTTTATATTTTGTAAGTTATAAAATCCAAAAGTATTATGTATTTTTAATTGAAATAAAACAATATTTATTATATTAATATTTTTATAAATTTATATTTTTGTATAAATAATTTTTTAATAAATACAATATAAAATAAAACATAAACTTATCATCGAGTTTTAAATAAAACTAATTTTTATTAAATATTTAAAAATTTTATTTTGCTTATTAATAAATATACTAATAAATACATAACAATTTAAATTTGTTAAAACATCATAATTAATTAAAATCTTTAGTAATATTTTGTTGTTGTTATTAATTCAAATATAGTTTAACCGATACAAACGATATCATAATAAGTGCAATGTTGGCCAATAAGGTAACTGTGCCCGAGCAATAACCAATTTGGCCAGGTACAATTTTATGATTGGCACAGTCTCCTTTATTTGCTACTTCTATACCCTGGTCAATTTCTTGTTTGTATAGCTTGTAATCATCTGCCGAACATGAATCCTAGATAAATATTATATATAAAATACAAAAATATTTTAATTATATTTTTTTATAAAACAATAATTTAGTTATGTAACTAATAATATAATAACATAAGTAATTGTAAAATTAATACAAACAAACAAAAAATAAAATAAAAAACATTAAAAATTGGTTACAATTTATACATAAATATAAATAATTATAAATTAGATTTTAGTTATATATTTTGTAATGAACATCTACCTTGGCATTGTCTACAATACAGTCAGTCATAATAGTAGCCATACAACAACTATATTTAGTAAGATCATCGGCTGTCATGTCCTTAATTTCCTCCTCAGTGGGCACTCGTAGTTTACCCTCAATACACTTAACGGCGTTGTCTTTGATTTTCAAACAACAATCATAACCGGGTTGACCTTCAATACATTTTATCTCTACTTTAATCTCTGTATCGTATTTAATGGCTGATCCAATATGTTTGCCAATAGTAATGTTGCCAACATTTGCTATCGACTGTACAAGAGATGACTGGCCACTATCGACAACTGTATACACAACCAACAGTGTCATAACAATATAACCCGAAGTAAGCATGGTTAGATTATTTTTGTTGATTGATAAATTTTACTATAATATCAAATAAAAAGTAAAAATAAAATGGTGACAATTATGTAAAACTTAGTTTTTTAAAGAAAACAATTACTATAACTAGAAATTAGATTTTGTTTGTTTTAATTTATACTATTTTTATTCAGCATCAAAAGTTATAAAATTTAGTGCCATAAAAACATTATCTATTATAGTATTATTATATTATTGGTATTTTACCAAAAAAAAACGCCTTAATAAGTTTATTTGTAACAAATTAATATTACTTATTATTTTTTTACTAAATTAGTTTCACAATTTTATGAAAAATTTTATGACACACACAAACACACAATAAAAACTATGACAAATTTATTTTATTGTTTTTTGATAAGTTTAGTATGTTATATATACATTTATATAGTGTACTATAATTATATTGTTCAATCATAATAAAAAATTTATACACTGTGTAAATTTAAAAGCGGAATAAATAAAATGGCCGTAATTTCTGAACGGTAATACATTTTGAAGTCAATGTTTTGTGTTTATGTTGACCACATGTTAGGGTTTTTTTGACAATTGTTTCGGAGACTTCACAATGGCGTCATCCTATTGTTATTACACAACTGAAGAAAAAGTGTTTATTGTAAAACAATATTATTTAAATCAAGAGTCACCGACTGAAGTCATCCGTAAATTTAAGTCCGAGTTTGGCCGCAATTCGACACTTTCCCCGAGTAGTGTCTTACGGTATAAAAAAATATTTTTAAATATTGTCATAAAATAACTAAAATTAATTTTAGATTAATAAATAAATTATTAATTTTAATTTTTTTTTGCTAGTATAATACAAAAGTTCAATGCCTCCGGATCAGTATTGGATGATCCACTTCATCAAAAAGGCCGTAAACCTGTCGTTACAGATCCAGAAACCGTTGAAGAAGTCCGGCAATTATTTGATGAATTTCCACAGACATCCACACGAAGAGCGGCTCAAATTCTTTCTGATAGACGACAGATCAGTCATACAACCATTCATCACATTCTAAAGTCCATAGACATGTTTCCCTACAAAATACAAATTACTCAAAAATTGGGAAAATATGACATTGAAAGACGATTTGATTTCGCTAATGATGTCATCCAAAAGATTGATACCGGTGCTATTGACATCAACAAAATTTGGTTTAGCGATGAAGCCCACTTTTGGTTGGAGGGTTACGTAAATAAGCAAAATTGTCGACAATGGGGTACTCAAAAACCCGAATTTTCTGTCGCTGTTCCCCTCCATTCAAAACGAGTTACGGTTTGGTGTGCAATGTCTGCAAATGCGATCATAGGTCCAATTTTTTTGGAAGAAAGTGTGACGGGAATTGTTTATTTGGATAAATGTATCGAACCATTTATTGAAATTGTCGACGGAATGGGAAAAATCGACAATTATTGGTTCCAACAGGATGGTGCACGTGCACACCGAACTATGGATGTTTTGGATAGGATTCAAAAGTGCTTTGAAGATAGAGTGATTGGTTTGGACTTTCCCGAAAAGACTGGTTCCGGAATAGATTGGCCACCCTATTCACCCGATTTGACTCCTCTCGATTTCTTTTTATGGGGTTATTGTAAAGATAGGGTGTATACTAATAACCCTAAAAACTTAATTGAGTTGAAAGATTCAATAACTCATGTGATTTCAACAATAAGTCAAGATATGCTGAAACGGGTTTCGGATGGTTTTGAGAAAAGGCTCCGTCACCTCATTGCAAATGGTGGCGGAACGTTCGAAAATTTAATTTCATAAACCCTATTTATTTATTAATTTTTTGTAATTAATTTGATTAAAATATCTATAATACTTTTTTTGTAATTAAATTTTCATTTATTCCTCTTTAACCAATACACGGTGTATAAAAAATCTTATTATTATATTTTCAAATACGTTACAAATACATAATATATAAATACAGTAATTGATTGCAAGTACTGTATATTTCTAATTATATTAATAAAGTTTATTATGTAATAAAATTTTTATATAGTTTTGAGGTGTTATCATTTATCAATTAAATTATTATTAACTTAAATTAAATGTTGCATTTTTTTTTGAAAAAAGTAATTAGTATAAAAATTAATTTTTCTATTTAGCCAAAAGTAAATATAATTATTATAAACTTTGGAGCAATTTTATTAATACAGGGCTGCCGATAAATTTTATTAACAATTTCAAGTCAATGACGACACACCATCTAATCGCACCGGTAGCACAAACCTATAGTATAGAAAATCAAATATCAATGATTAAACATGATTTTTTAATTATTTGATATATATGACCAAGTAAATAAACCTATACATATCTATTAATATTATAATATAATATTTTATCATATTGATTATTATTTTATTTTAATCAATATTTTGATTTTGTTTATAAAATAACTTACCGTAAAATCGTATTTTTCTATCATATGGAAATGTCTAAGTCATGGGGAATAATGCGAGTTTTGTACCATATGAAAAATATAGTTTTTTACTTTGAATAATAATTTCCCACCCCCCTGTTTTTAATATATTTTCAAGATTTCCCACCCCTTGTATTTGGACATTCTAGTTGTTCCAAACCCTTTGAATATGCTATATATTTACCGATTTATATCAATAATATGTAAAAATACTGTAAATGTATACAAATGTCATTTATTGTTAAACACTGTTATAATTAAATAATTACAGGTAATATCTAAATAATAAAGGTTTTAATAGACTACTGTTAATTATCGGTCATTACAGTTCCCTATTCCCACAATTTTGCTTTTCACTACAGACTCGTTTAATTTACAAGGGGTGATAAAAAATTGCGAGTTTTTTACCGTATGAAAATGTTATTTTTCATTTTTTTCCATATGAGAAAAAACACGATTTTAAGGTAATCAGAAAAAAATTATACGGTAAGCTTAATTGTTGCTATAATATATTTATTAAATGTTTAGCAAATAACATCAAAAGCATCAAAGTTTTTAATACAGATAACTATTAAAATAGTTATAAAAAATCAATAAATTAAGTTTAGGAAATTGTGAATTTAAATTAAATTTTTCAAATGTTTAGTTTATTGATAATTAGTTTTCATGCACTGACTTATTGATGTTAATCTTGTGACCGGTATTTTTATTTAAGTAAATTTAATAATGTTTAATTAATGTAATAATAATACTGTATTATTGTTAATACCAATCAGCTATATAATTATTGATAATATTTAATTACTAATACAAAAAAAAGTAATTCTAATAATTTTTATAATAATTATAATAATAATATAATTAATATGTACCGTAATATACAATAACCTAGTTCATTTATTATTTTTTCTAATAAAGTTGATCATAATAATTTTTATCATAATTAAACATCATCAAATAGTAAATACCTGATTAGTGTTTATATTACACTATCAAAATTATTACTCAACTATGATAAATGTTAATAAGTAAACTGAAACAAATTAATATCACATTTTTCAATAATTATTTATATTTACCTTTATTTTTACGACACAAATAAAAAAAGGTTTTGTTAAAGTGGAAATTTTTATAATATTATATGAGAAAATTTATTTTGCTATTTAATTATATTTATGTAATTTATGTAATTAACAGTATTTATGTATTTTTTTAATTTAAGAATCGTAAGTAATTTATTTTAGTTAAAAATATTTTAATTATTAAAATAATATAAATATTATAATTTTAAAAAACTACAATTAATTTATTTATATTAAATTAATTTTTTTTAAATTATACAGTTTTTTAAACTAATTTATTATATTATAAAATATTATTAAAGTTCCTTGTTGTTATCATTTATTATAGTCAATTATTATGAATCATAATTTATGATTTTAACAATTTAATTGTAAAATTAAACTAATTTAGATTATTTCAAAATTAATTGCTTTATACTTTTAATAATAAATGTTAATTATTTTTAATTAAAATGTATTTATAGTATAACTCATTAGTTTCTTAAAATTAAATTATTATTATTATTACTACTATTTATTTCGTTTATAAATTTGAGTTAAGGGCACATCAAAAATGCTAACTGGAATCGACATCAAACTCTCTGATCGATTGATATCCTCTTTAATATCATCCAAACAGCGCTTCTCATAATTACTGAATTCAGTTTTCAGATCCAACTCTTCGTACACTTGTCTAACTTGTCTGACTGACTGTTCATCGTTTTTGATGCCGACGTTAGCCACTAATATCTGGCGCTGTTTGTCGTCACATAATTCAAGTGCCCGTACTATAGGCCAACAACACTTGCCCTCCTCGATATCGGTACCGGTTTTGCCCATATGTGTGGGATCGACAAACAGATCAATATAATCGTCCTGTGCTTGAAACAGATGACCGATTTTTAGCAAAATTTTCTCAACCAATTGATGATCACTGGCTTGACTATAGCCTCTCATATACATTGCTTAAACATGCATTAAAATTAAATTACATAACTAATACAGTAGAATTTAATTAAATGTAATGGCACACGACATACCTAAGCGCACTGGTAGGACAAACGTATAGTAGGAAGTTTTATATTTGATAATTGTTGAATATTTAGCAAATGTATAGTTACTAATATCTCGTTTATTACTGGTAACAGTATCCATGCACTGACCTATTGATGTTAGTCGTGTAGACTATGTTTTAATTTGTATTAATTAAAATGTACATGTATACTCTATTATATTTGACCTACCTCATTCATTAGCTCCAGTATGTCAACATAGTAGTGTTTGTCTTTAAAATGTAACTTGATCAAATGAAACATACCTGTGTAGAGCAATGCACTATCATTGCAAACCATACGTCCCACGTCGGGCTATTAAAGTGTAATACAGATTATATAAAAAAAAAATTATTTTTTTAGTAAAATATGTAAATATAAAACTTGAAAATACTTATTAATATTAGTTATATTGAATTAATATAAGTCTAATTATTAATATATAATTTTATACTAATAAAGTTTACTCGAAGTTAGAATTTCAAGTTTTTATTTAAAAAAATATTGAAACTTTAATATAATAGTTGATGATATACAAAAATATATTTAAAAAACTAAATGTTTTCAATATCTACCATAAGATGCCAACAGGGTTTCCAGCGTCTGGTAACACCATTATCCATAAAGTCATCGACAATTACAAATGATGTCTGAAATAGTTCTAATACCCAACCCATTACCCGAACCGATTCCAATTGAGTGCTATTGTCTACCGGTTTGTAAACAGTATCACTGATGTTGTCGGTGGTGTTGTTGCTGTTGTCCAGTACACGATAGATGACCGTCAATAGTAGGCCGCGATTGCGTTTGCCGTGCCTTACATTATAATCGACTATTTTATGCAACCAATCGATGACCAAAACAATCATATCTTTGTTATCATTGATGTCATCGTTATCTGTCGGCCCTAACAACTGTTGGACAACCGTTTCATAGGTTTTGTCGAATTCAATCTTTTCGTTGACATATAGTTCTTGAATGCGATTATTATTGATTTCATTCATTATTTTTGTTATTATATTTATAAACAAATTTAGATTTTGAAAAATATATTTTAAAAAAAATTAATTTAAGTAACTCATTAAGTAATTAATTAAGTAGTTTTGCTAAAAACAAACAAAAATGATTATTATTATATAAAAAATATATTTTATTTAATAAAATTTGATTAAAAATAATATTAATAAAATAAAATAATTATATTAACTAACTTAATAAATAATAAATTGTAATAACAAACGCAAGTTACCATTTGATTATACATTTTCAATTTGATATAATATTATATATACCGGTATATAAGTATTAAAATAATTAGTTGACAAAAATAAATCATTGTCATTATTATTATTAGATATTTTACTAATAAACAATAAATAAGCTCAAGGTATATAAATTATAAGCATAAATAGCAAAAACAACTATTTTAATATTTTCCATTATAATTGTTGTTGTAATTTACATTTTATTAATCATCATTTTACTGGCATTTATAATATAAATTTTATATTATAGCATCATCAATGGCAACATTAATTTATATATTTTTAGCAAATGTTTTTATACATTATAAAATTATTTATTTAATAAATATATATTTAAAAAAAATCTATTATTGATTTAATATAATAAAAAAATTTCTGGTAGATAATTAAAACATAAGTCAAATAATACAGTATAATCTATATTTTTATTTAATTACAACAAAAAAAGAGTATTAAGTAAATATAACATTAATAACTAAATATTATTTAAAACATAAATTTAACCACTAATCCTATTGTCAACAGTAATATTATTATTATGTAAATTACTATTATTAACAATATTATTAGTATTATTTGTATTACTATAGGGACCGATACCAACACTGATACGCCTACTGTAGTGCAACTGTTGTCTGGCCTTCCACTCGGGCTTTACGTTTTGGCGTTTAAGTTGACCGTCAATTTCGAGATCAACTAAACCTCCCTTCAAAGCTATCTGTGCCTTAACTCGTTGAGCAAAATCAGTGGACGACTCGTCCGGACTGCGTGTCATCGACGGTAAGTACCAGACATCGCACACTATGGCCCACGAGGTCATCATCATTAACAGATACTTTACGTAACCGTATTTACTTGAATTCCAAAAAGGATCGCCAAATCGGGCGTCATATTTGATGGCCACCGGATAGATAGTGCCGCCCACTTCGAACGCCCCCTTTTTGAACATCATAACTGCCGAGTTGTTAATACAGGTGCCCTCAGGGAAGATCAGTATCGGTAGTTTAGACGTGTCCTGAACGTGCTCTTGAAGCCGATGAGAAACGGCTGTTTAAAAATTTTAAAAAAATAGTTAGTCATAAATAAACTTTATTAATGATGATGGCTACTAGTGCTACAGTCCATGTTCACCGGTACATACCTAGCCTATCGGTCATCTCTGACCGATCAAACCATATGTGATGTGTAGCTCTGGCCAATGCTCTCTGTAAAATACCAAGGAATCCGCCGTGTGTTTGACCTACCAGTGCGTATGAGTTATCACAATGTAATATGACTACATCAATGGGACTCGTATGATTGGCCACACATATGCCGCCAGATTTTGCCCGATTTTCGACATCATGATACGTAATGAGACCCGAAAAGCCGCGGGACAGTACTCGAAAACACATTATTGACACCCTATAATAGACCCAACGTTTGAGCCGACCGTTCGGTATCTGTGCTATCAAACCGGTACAGAAAACCAGCCAACTGACCCCCAAAAAGGTTATCGTAAATCTTAGCGGAAATAAAAACAGGTATCGAAACAGTAGTCCCGACCACCAGATTAAGGCCAGTCTGAGTGAATTGTAGTGATAAAACTTGTCGGTTCGGGTCAATAGGTTCCAAGTGGGCAACTCTTTTGCTGCAAACCGTTTGGTCACTTCGTCGTCGACCATAGCCTTGACACCTGTTCGGACAAACTCGTAAATGTCGGCCAAATTGAACTCTTTTTTCTCCTGATTTATTGACAAACTCATCGTACGGTGCCGTCGATTGTCAAATATATTGCCGATATTATTGCCAACATTTGCTGTCAAATATAAAGGACAGTTAGTTTTTATGTTTGAGAACTGACTGTAGACTTTAAAAATCAATAGTCGATCATTACCTGACTTATGTACATGAAATGGATCAAATAGATCGTCCTCTTCCTCATTGTTAATACCATCTCGACTCTTGTCATTACTGACCTCCAGTTCCTTGTCTTCGTCGTTATCATCACTTTCCGGTTCGTACGACTGTATCTGTAGTCGACTGATCTTTCTCTGTCTTTCCTTAATCTTGACCTCAACAATGTCGGCCCGTTTGCGGCCGTATTCAAACAGTTGCAACAGTTTTTCGACATAGCGTTGATGTATATAAAAGTCGTGACCTACCGATGCCAAACCCAACCATATAATTATGGCTAATGTAAATAATGCTATGAATATCATGTTGTGATTGTTTTGTTGTCTAATTTTATATATAAAAGTCAATAAAATTGTTTATTAATTTATCAAATAATGAGATTACAAAATATACAGTATATATGAGGTAATTTGAAAAAAATATAATAATAATAATTGATTAATAAAAATAATAGCTAACTATTGTTCACAAACATTTAAAATCACTTATTACTTAATCACATTAAATATTATGCAAAATTGCATAATAATAATAATAATTCATTATTAAAACTTTATTTATTAGTTAAAGAATAAATTTCACTGAAACTATTTTTATTATTTTAGTCACATATTTTATTTAAATTATATTTATGTTTATATTATTAAATTGTTCATAAATTTTTAAGTACATTATAAAGTACACTACAATAGTATTATTAATTATTATTTTTGGAAGTTTTATTATTAAAAAAAAATATAATTTTCTATACTATTGATTATTTTTTTTAATAAAATATTACAAAATATAATACATTTGTCGAGAGTATGTATATATGGATAACATTTACTTTGACCATAAAAATTGAATTTGTTTTCTCCAATTATTTACTTAAAAAATATATATATCACAAGTTTTGACGATTTCAGTACAAAGTTCATGCACTTTGTAATAATAATCATTTAGTATACACGTTGTGTGAATATAATAGCAAACATTTAATACATTTATTATATACTTTAATGTATTTAAGTATTGAATACTATTGAGTATTTGAACATTTATGTTGAGTGAAACAAAAAATTAATGATAAGACCACACATAAAAAATTATTATTATTATTGAATGATTATAATTATTTAAATCACGATTATAACCAATACTGTTATCTATTTTTTGTAGCTAATAATTTAACATAAAATTATTATTTAATTATCATTTAAATTAGAAAGTGAATAAAAATCACAAAAAAATATTTAATTGAATCTTTAGTTTTTTAAATGTATTAAAATATTAATTATGATATGATTTTTTTTATCATTGTCTAGAGCTGTGAATAGATGATAACCTCATAAAACATTTTATTTATTTAATTATAGCGATAATTATATTAATAACTTATAATAAAATAATACATATTAGTAGAAAAAACAACAAATCAATCAACAATTGAAACACTTTATGATATTATATATTTGTTTTAAATTCATTATTTTTTTTAGTCAAACACTTATATAAAATTTTCTAATATAACTATACAGTATATAACACATAACATTTGAATTTATTATAGTACAGCAAATATGTTTTCTGATACTATTAATAATAATATAAACAAATATCATAAGAGAAAAATATTAATAGGAAATTGACTGCAAATAATCACATGAAATAAAGTCATCTATAAATGTTTATTATATAATATAAACAATATTTACAAAAATTAATATTTAATACACAATATTTCGCACAATTTCTATTATTTAACATATACACACATAAAAGGGCCTTACATTAATCTCGCACACGCGGTTTTTGCTATAATTCTTAAACGGAGTGAGATATATTAATTTTGTAAAAAGAGTATTAAAAAGTGATTTACGCGTGATATTATAAAATATTAAATTTTTAATTTTGATCACGTGATCATATTTATTCTTGGATCTTTGCAAACCACTATATCACAACCTAAACTATAAATGCTAGAATAAAATTTCAATAGTAAGTATGTAATGCCTAAACTGGAAATTTATAGGAAGAAAAAATTTTTAAAATTGGTTGCAGAATAAATTTTTTATGGCTTTTCAAACTTGTGGAAAAACACATTATATAAAATAGTCGAAAATAAAATGACGTTATTTATGGACAGTAGACACTTATTAGATAGAGATTTTAATACTATTGCTTATTCTAAAAACAAAATTTTTTTATGTCAAATATTTTTTTAGATAATCAAATTTAATTAAAAATTGCATTATCGAAATATAATGTTGTTTTTTATTGTAATTTAATTATCTAAAAAAATATTTAACATAAAAAAATTTTGTTTTCAGAATAAGCAATAGTATTAATATCTCTATCTAATAAGTGTCTACTGTCCATAAATAACGTCATTTTATTTTCCACAATTTTATATAATGTGTTTTTCCACAAGTTTGAAAAGCCATAAAAAATTTATTCTTGGACCAATTTTAAAATTTTTTTTCCTATAAATTTCCAGTTTAGGCATTACAAACTTACTATTGAAATTTTATTTTAGCATTTATAGTTTAGGTTATGACATAGTGGTTTGCAAAGATCCAAGAATAAATATGATCACGTGATCAAAATTAAAAATTTAATATTTTATAATATCACGCGTAAATCACTTATTAATACTCTTTTTACAAAATTAATATATCTCACTCCGTTTAAGAATTATAGCAAAAACCGCGTGTGCGAGATTAATGTAAGGCCCTTTTATATATAATATACAATAATATTTATATATATATATAGTTAATTATTATGTTGGCTAACTAGATAAACAACATATTTATTATACTTTACTTATTTGTATTTGTACTTGTTGATTTGCTGGCAATCAATTAATTAAATTATATTATGTCTGTGTAGTTATGTTGGTTATTCAAGTGTATATACATATATTAATATATACAAGATAGGAGCGTCTAATGTAGTGTTTTTACTATTATTATTATTATTATTGCACTAAAGTTATTGAAACACCTGTATGTTTGTCATGTGATTAATATAAAAAAAATAAATTTTAATTTTATTGTGCAATTTCTTATATAAAAACAAATTATTATCTGTTTATATCATAATTTAAATAATTTTTACAAAAATACTGAATCTTCAATGTATTAGTGACTAACTAACTAACTCACTAGCATTTATAATGTACTGTAAATCATAATACAGTATTAGTTTTTAAAATAATATTAATGTAGACCATTGACAGTAATACTGTTACTTTGCACATGAAATGATCCTTGAACATATTTTCAATTGACAGTATAATATACTGTATATAAATAATATATATTTTAGTAATTGTTGAAAAGCCTTGAGATAAACAAGCTTTTCATTGATAACAACTTTTTTTACGACAATTAGCTGTCACTAATAAATACAATGGGTTTTTATTAATTTTATTTTCAAATATCTTATTATAATTTTTAGTCAAAATATCATATCTTGATAATTTTTAAAATATAATACTTATATTTTTATATTATATCATATTATTATGTAATTTAAAATATAATATCTTCTAATATATATTGATATTATATTTTATAAAATGTAATTTAAGAGATTTTTTTATTATATTAATTATTTAAGTAATTAACAATATAGCTATTTTTGAAAACTAATAGCTAAATATATCAATATACTGTATCAATGTTTAATAGTTGGCCAAGTTTCAATATATTGTACAATACAGTCTATTTTATTTTATAATCAAAAAACTATTTAAAAACATATAAGATATAAAATTTTAAAAAAATACATAGTCTAGTCTTTTATTATTTAATATATTATTTTCTATTTAAAGTAGATATTAGTAATAAATTGATTTATTAGTGCCGACCTTTCAAAATAATAATTATAAAATATGTACTGTATTTTTTTATTAGTTAATTAATATATAATATTAGATAGATTAAAATTTAATACTATTGCTAGGATTGTGAATTTTGTATTTAATGTTATAAATAATTTATTATCGTTTAGGCGCTTACAGTATTATATATATTATTTACAAAATAAATTTATAAAAACTTATAAATATATTTTTAGTTAAAATTTTTATTTAAATAATTAATTATGAATAATTAAATCATGCTTTTATCTATTAGATATTTTATTCACACATAATAATTAATTTAATAATATTTATGCAACAATAAAATTATTACTTAATAAAGATAATAATTTTAAATTAAGACTTATGTAATGTTGTTAATCAATTTCAAATTTGATAATTTTAATTATAATACTATATATAATACTTAATAATTAATACGACCTTGTTAATGTTTGAAAATTTAAATATTATTATAGACTATTTGATTTAGTAAATTGGCTAATTAGTAAATCTTGTATTATTTATTTATCAATACTAATTTTTTCTTTTTTGTTTAATTGATTATTAATTTATTGGGCAATGAATGTGCCTAAAGGATACATAAATATATAAATATTTAAACATAAATATAAACATATATTCACTCATATAATATACATAAATTTATAATACATTTACACATACTAACATTTGATGGATTTATATCAATTGTTAATTGAAAAAAAAGTTTGGTATAGTCTAATATATATTTTTTCTTTAAAATATTATAATAACAATTATTGCTTAAGTAATTTATTTGATTTTATAGCAACAATTTTTGTCAACTTTTCATATTATATGAGATTACGTGTGTTTGAGAGAGAGAGAGAGAGAGAGAGAGAGAGAGAAAAAAAATCTTCTAAAAAACAAATTTAGTGATAATTTCTAATCAATTGCTAAATAATTTTTTTGCAGACATTAGCACAAACACAACATATAACACAAGAAAACTAACTGTTTATAACATTTTCTAATACATAGACTTCCGTCACTAATATTTAAAAAAAAACTAAAAATACAAAATTATACATTATATTTAAACTGTATTTTTCAATCGTTTTATTATTAATATTATTATTTAAATGTAATCATTTGATTTAATAATTGTTTAACTGACTGATTGATTGTTAATTAAAACTATGGAATCGGTAGAACTGTTTGACACTAGTATTGAGGGATATAATAATTTTGTCTATTTTGTTGGTCTCGTATTGTTGGTCTATATGTAAGTTTTAATATATTTTTTTTAAAAATAATTTTTAATTTTACTAAATTAAATTTATAAATTTATTTATTATCAAAAAAAAGTTAATTATTAATTATATTTATGAATGTAGGTTTTTATGTCCAATGCCAACTAACCAAGCACAGTTATCACAATTGGCAAATCCAAATAAACGCTATAATCATAGAGTATCGGTCAAATCAAGTAACAAATCAAAATCAACTTGATCAATTATTTAAAAAATAAACATTTTTAAATGTTTTAATCGAAAATTATAATATAATTATATTGTAGAAGTATTATTATATCATATATATTACATTATATTATATGTATTAATAATAAGTCACTAAATAATTTATGTATTTAAATAGTTTTTTTTAGTGTAAATATTAGTTTAC